GAACGCTTCTCTGATCCTTTGCAGTTTCTCCTGGATCGTTCTTGCTGCTTAAATATCCCTGGATGCGGCCTTGACGATGAGCGACAGCATTCCAAGCTGTGGACCGTGCAACTTCTGGAACATGTCCTGTCGAGCAGTGAGCGCGGCGAGAAAGCGCAAACTTTCGCTTCCATCATGTGCACGACCAACCTTGTACTTGGAACGCAGCCTGAGCGCTGCGGTCATGTCCACTTCCTGTCCACCGCACACTTCCCAGCCGTGGAAAAACAGTCGAGGCGAGCCTGGAAGGTGGAAAGCAGGGCCGCAGTGTTCTGAGTTTCCTTAGCCATGTGAATCTGTGTGATGAGCATCTGCAGGTTCCCACTGTGCTCTGTCACGTGTCCGTCGCTCAGTTTCCCACCTTCAGCCGCTTCATGACACGTTGCCGAACGAAAGACACTGGTACCCGTCTTTCAGTGCAACCCTGGCAGGGCTAACGCCACACGATCCGGCTCAGGGGCATGAAAGGCTGCTGCGCCTCCCCGACGGCGACCACGACTGGCGCAGTTCCGACGGATGCCGGAGGCGCCGAAGCCGGCTGAGCCGCCTAGGCTGCTGATGCTGCAGATTGCTGGTTACTGGTTGCCCAGGACCTCCTTCCTTTATGCCGTCCACCCCGAGCTGCGGGCTTCCGGCACACCCAGCCGCTCAGCCGCCAAGCGAGCAAACGTGGTCCGGAGACCTGCCCGTGGCGAGCGAGAGGTGAGTTCTGCTCACAGCACCTTGTGATCTACTCACGATACCTCAGGGCTTGAGGGCAAGTCCTCAGCTCTTGTGATTCACACATCCCATGCTCCTCACCGAAGCCCAAACCAGGCTTTGTCGCCCCGTAGCGCCAGCTGAAATGCGAAAAATCATGCAATCATCAGCTCCAGATGAAGCGTTCAAGTACGTCAGCTGCCATTGCTCAAGACTTTAACACTTAGACACTGCTTCACGCACTGCTTCACTTGTGTCATGTCCGTCGGGCCTGGAACGGCGACAGCACCTTGCCGCTGGAGTAAGTAAGGTACAGGCCCTCTGACTGTCATTGTGCGGTGAAAACGGGATGATGCAGTCAGCCCATATCCCATGATTGATAGAGGCAAGAGATGAACCCAGAAAGCTCGAGGCACAAGACTCTCTTAGAGCCATGTGGGTGTTTGTCAAAATTATGGTCCCTTTCTGGGTCCCTAATATAGTACGGCACATTTTTTAGGGTACCCAAAAAAGGACCCTAATTTTGACAACCACCCAGATGGAAGTAGCCGCAGCCTCGAACCAAGAAAGGGCATGTCTGCAGTTCGACTAGGGTATGTGCGAAAACAGCATGACTCAGCCGAACCGGAGCACATCGCAGAATCTTCGGACAGCTCTGGGCTGAAAGCCGGCGCTTCGAGCTCAATTCGAACACATTCCACAGCCCCAGCCGCTGATGCACGTAGGACAGGGTAATTGTCAATCAAGTCGGACAACGATCCGAATCGAAAATCGCATGCCAAAATGGCGCGAATCGAAAACAAACAACGAGGTCAGAAGACAGGAACATGAACATGCAGAAGGCAGCATGCGGCGCTAGATCTCAAGCCCACGCTAAGATTGACAAGAAACAACCCGAATTCTAGAAGGTGAGAAACACAATCATGTGCACCAGAGACTCACATCTGCTTCTGCTTCCCCCTTCCTCCCCAGCCCCTCCCGCCCACAGTATCACCTCCCATGTTACGCAGCGGAGGCGCTGGGATGCGCCTGTCCATTGACTTAACAGAACTACGGAGAATTCGTCTCCTAATCATTAAGTCTGCTTCCCGCAGCCCCGCATGTCGAAGGGCGGACAAAGCACACTCATTGGCCTTCGTGAAGACCTCCATGAATCTATGTACTGCTACATTTGTATGTCCCGCAACTGGCCGAAGAAAGAATGCAAAATCGCTAACATGAAAGACCCGGACACTCGTGCCTATGTCGAAACATGCCCCTGCTTGGCGAGAGAGAACCTATAGTCATCTTGCTGGTCACTGGTAGAGAACCCAACTGAATACCGAAGAGTATGCCGGAAGCAATGCAATCCAGTCGCTTTGCAGAATGTACAGAGGAACTCGAACGACAGCATGGCATATTGTGGCATCCGTACACATGACTTACCGGGCCAGTACATAGTTGAGGGTTGCCTGACACGTTGAAGCCACGGTTTGTCAGTTGCTGAGGGCGGCACCCGATGCACGATGCCGTACCTGTCTTTGCAGGGCAAGTCGCCGATCCCAGAAAAGCATGGAGCCACAAGCAAAGGGCCTGAAGTGGTCTCATCGCCTGGGTGAGCACACCGCTTCAAACTCTACCCCGCTCTTGCCATGCAGAATACCCGACGTGCCACATCAGTGTTCTTCACGTGTGCATATGACATGGCAGCAGGCATTGGTTCGTGGAAGAGGTGGCTTGAGATGGACCTCTAGTCCCTAGTCTATAGCAGCCCCAACGAAAATCGATTAGTTTTGATCAGTGAGGGACCCTGGGCTGACGGAAAGCTTGGCCAACAGATTCGATGCTCCGACACGACCAAGCAGAGTGCGGCAGTTGACGAGAAACTCGGCAATGTACTGCGGATCGAAAACCTTTGCGCCCGAAGTGCGGCTCCTTCACCCACTGTGCCGCAGCCTCACCAACTCCCACTTCCATTTTGTTGTTCTGATCAAAGCTAGGTCGATGGAATGGAGCTTGCGCATAAAGGCTTAGGAACTCAATAGCCCGAATTTCATCGTTATGCTCAGCAGTCCACTGCTTCAAATTGCGTCTGGCCTTCAGCTTAACTTTTGCAAGGGCCTCTGCAGGAGACAGCTGACATGTGAACTGCATGCTTGTCTGCTGCACGACTTAAGGGCTCTGTCACGATCTCTCCGAAACATCGTCATGGCTGTCTGAGGCTGATCCTATGCTTGTCTCTAGACCTTAGACACGCATGGGCACGCATGAAAAAAATGTAAAAAACACGATGTCTTTGTGCGTTTGCCTGCCAAGAGAAACACCAGAAAATGCAAGGCCGTGCACTAACACTGCACTGAACAAGCAACAAGTGGACTACTGCATCATCGCGAGATCTGCAAGCCAGGGTCACTCCACAATGCCACGTTTAACTGATCGAATGGATATATGCCAAACCTGAGCATTGACGTTTTTCAACTGCTTGCAACCCTGAAACAAGCCAGGACTTTAAGAAAAGACATTCGAGATTGTTTCTTAAATCACTAGACTCCCCGTAGCTGCGCAAGCTGCACATTTACACTTGTTGGTGCCGACGAGTGGATCGACAGACAGAGCCAAGAGTTCCGAGCACCTAAGATCATCTAACATTCAAGCTGTATGCATCCATGACATGTAGGTGCTGATGCCAAACACGGGGGGTTTCTGCTGGCCTGCAAACAGCAAAGAAACAATGCAGGCGCTCGCTTCCATGACAAAGTCACCCTGTGGAGTGTTGCAGAGTCATGCTTCACAACACTACTGACCCCGCATGTGTGCAAGTCAGCGGCAAACATAATGCGAGTTCGGATGGCACACAGGATCTGCCCTGGACGGACATTCGTAGAACTCCACGAACCAATCCCAGACATGACGAGAGTCCCATCTGCGTCTCAGGAGGCAAATCAGAGACTACAACGGATAAGTAACACAGAGGGATCGCACGTCCAAAGAAGACTGACCCTGAATTCAATATCGCCGATTATTGATAATTGTCTACCTTTGCGTGCCGCCTGAGGTCACCTGAATTGGACTCTTCTTTTTGTCCCAACCGACATTTCACTCCATTGGCAGATTTACAGCGGCAGACTCCCCCGGAAATCGATTTCAGTTGATACTTGACAAATTTGAACACCCGGGCCGCTTAGCGCTGCCAACCCGAAGTAGTGTAGGAATTGAGTTTAGGGATCGGAGTGCTGGGCTTTGCGGTTCGGTGTTGTTGGGCTTTAGGATTTAGGGTTGAGGTTTCAAGTGTGCCAACTACTGGAAAGCAAGACACGGATGATTGACCGAAGTCATCCGCGAATTTGGCGAACACTACAGGCGACAGGAGAAATAGGCACCGGCAACCCAACAACTTGCTTGATTGCCTGTCGTTGATTGGAGGAATATTCTCGGCATACGAGGCGCTGAGATCGTTGACCACAGCAGCTTTCAGGACGTCGCTAAGGTCCGCGACGACACGAAACACCCAGGACTAGAAGTACTCCTCGCCGACGTGAAACCACAAGCCCGCAAAATGCTGTGGGTACAACCCAATGGAAAACTGGATAAAACTGGTCTACGCTGGTCTGGTCGGCACTTGAAGGACAGGTCGGTCGCTAGTACACCAAGTTTGCAGAGCTCCCAGAAACTCGGCGAGGTCAACTCTTCCACTTCTCTGCCACCTGGACCTGCCTGCTCCCGGCGGGGAGCACAGGTTTGGATCGGTGTTCCATACTGTACCCGAACCAAATGTTGATGAGACCGAGGACAAAGCAACAAGGCATTGTCGTTGCTCTGACAAACGTCACGGGCACGCTCAATCAACCCGGTCGACACTTGACAACGCTCAGGAGCAGGAACACTACAACATGGAATACTCTCATTAGAGCATTAGAGAAGTGTGGCTTTCGATGACGCTGGACATATCCTGCGAGCAGTCTTCAACCTTCACACCTTCTTGCACGCAGGACATGACATGCTTGCATGCTCCACACGTGCTTTGCGCTTGGACTGAGTCGGCGGACTTGTCGAAGGTGGAACATTATGTCTCGTGTTGCACACGACATAGGGCCTGCCAATCTACGCGGCCAATGCTTGAAAAGGTGGGCATCCGCAGCCTCGAGAGGCCCTGCGGCCCTGTCCTCTGGGCCTTGCCCCCGGCCCCCTAAGCTCTTGAGCCGACTGGCAGGCAAAGCGAGTGCTGAGCACGTCTGAGGCAAGCCCTTGTGCTGAAAATGACAGGGCTGTGCATCTTCCCCAGCCTCCAACACAACCTCATCGATCCGAGTGAAAGAGGTGGCCACGAGCTACGAGCTATCAGGCTGGGTGCTGGGCCACAAAACGCACGGTTCGTTCGTGGAGAACTCTGTGAATCCTGACGCTGCGACTCGAAAGACGTCGGTTTGCACGATTGAATCTGTGCCAACACCCTGAGTCAGAGAATGATTGCAGGACGGCTGCAAGACTATCTCTGCGTAACATGTTTCACTGCTTGACATTCCCTGCACGCCAACTTCCTGCTATCTCGACTTCTTCCATGCGGAGTCATTGCTGCTCCACAGCCCAGGCTTTCGTGGGTAAGATCATTCATGTGAGGACTGTCAGCACAATGGTGATTGCCGCGTCGTCTTATGTGCATTCGAAGAAGTACCGACCCTCGGGATTTCTTCAGCATGCGCCTGAAGTGATATGATTTCCCAGGCCGAATCGTTGTGCAAACATGGTCAGGGAATGCATTGCTACTGGCGACCGGATTGCTCGGGATGGCTTTCACACTGGGAGCTTGGTACAAGAGGTGACGACTCAAGCCGTGTAACTCTGTCATGCTCTCAGCTCCCAATTGATCTCTCGTGCACGATTCAAGGATGCTTTCAAGCGACCGCGCCATGTCTTGAGCGTCAGGCAGGTTTTGGCTGGGAACCAAGGCCCACGATCGCTAGGACTCCCATCCTAGGTGTTCCTCTGTGTCATGCACAGTGGTGGAGTCTGTGAGATCTGGTGCCGCTGCTAGGAATGCTGACACAATCGGGGGATGCACAAATGTCAGCACTCGAGCGCCTGCGATGAAAGCCAGAGTCCACTTCGTCGACTCTGCTGTCTTTGCGGCCCCCACAAACGAGCTGGGCAAGCTCGGACATCTCCTGCAGTGTCTGGCGCTGGTGTGGAGACCAACACCTTAGCAGTGTGCGCACACACACACGCACACGATTAAAAGCCTTGCGGCATTTGTCTCAGGTCTCCACCACGAAGCTGCCACCAATCGGCCCAGCCATGCTGACATCTTCTCAGATGCGATTCTGTTGAAGGCCAGATCGGGGCACATCAGCGTTTGACGCGCAAAGACCTAGCACCAGACACAGCGCCTGTATGTCAAATCGATAGTGGCCGCTTGGCTTGCGTGTGACTGCATATATGCGCATTCGGTCTTGATATGATCGGGTTAGTGCCTGCACAGCTTTGAAGCACTTCTGCTGCACGAAGGCCTCAGGGGCAGGGCATGGCGGGCCGAAGCAGAAACCAGAGGCTGTTCTTCTGACGTGCGTTGGCTTTGGAGCCTCGAGCTGGGCTCGGCCGGCAGCCGAGTGCTCGTTCCACGCTGTGTCCAAGAGCCTCAACGTTGTTGAGTGCACTGGAACAAGAAGTTGACCCGAAGGTGTGGCCGTTGTGGCTCAACCCGCTGTTGCATCTTGATTGGAGTTTCCGCTTGGATGAGTTCAAGCCGGAGGGCACACCAGGTTGATCAGATCTGGCTGTCGTCAGTGTTAGTTGAAGCAACATAGCTTCGCTGGCATCAAATTCGAGTGTGCAGCATGCCCCTGCAACCCAGCATGAACAACTACGAGCTCTTGCAATCTAAGAGAATCTCTATCATCTACAGTACATGAAGCTGGTAAACAACACAAGAGAGGATCGCCCTCAGAAGCACACTTACTTCTTCGATCTCACCACTTGCGCAGCAGTCCGGTGAGGGAGACTTGGGCATCGCAAAATCAGAGCCGGCCAGCGGAGAGCAGAAATTCTTTAAGCTGCAGCCGCCGTACTGGCGAACAAAACACTGGTGGCTGGCATTGCTGGCACTCGCTGTGCTGAGCCGGCGGCTCACAGAAGCGATCTGCGGCAGCAGGGAAGCGGTCCAAGGAGCTCAGCGCTGGCCTGAGGACAGCGTTCTACAGGCGCACCTTGCACCACGAGGTGCGACGCGATTCGACCCTTTCTGAAGTGGGCGCACATGACTTCGGTCTCCAGCTCATCCGCTAAGCTTCGAAGCGACTCCTGGGACCAGGAGTCGTGGCCCGAGCCGTGAGCCGCGAGCGGTGAAATCGTCAAACGACTCGGAACCTGAAGGCGGTCCGAATCGTAAACAGTCTCCTCCGACCCTGCTGCGGTCGATGCAAAGTGAGTGCATCGGACTTGTATCTGAAGTGCGCATGATATCGAGCCTGCGGATCTAGAGCGAAGCTGCGTAGCAAGAAAACGCCCACTTGACCTGCCGACTCCCCTAACACCGAGCCACACCGAGCTAAAGTTGAGAAGTTTCAAACCACACAGGCGGCCTTTCTGTCAGTAGGTCACAGAGAAGATCTTCTCCGCGAGACAGGCTCAAGCCACAATCTCGTGCAGCCTGCTCCGACATGGTCCACTATCAACTCAATCATCCTGGAACCTCCAAAAACATCTGGACAGCTTCGTTCACTCGGAATTTGTTGATTGAGAGCCATGAGGGGATTGCATATCGAGTGATGCTGTATTCCATGCTGCATCTGCCCTGCGCGATTCCGAGATTGAACTCCCATGAAGGACTCGAAACCGATGGATCCAAAGGGTGCGAGAAACAGCTGAAAAAGCGCTACTTGTATCGCAACCACACAAGCCATCGATTTACCCGCTCCGTCACAGTTAAACCACAAGGAGCCTGAGCTTCTTCTCGTCCGAAGAATGCTTCAACCTCCTGCAGACGAAACACGCAAACACGGATTCGGCGTTCTGAGACTACGCAAGCCGCCCTACCTCCCAAGAACCGCCGAAGGCCTAGCCTGCCCTGTCATGCTCAAACAATCTCAAACATTCATGACATTGCGAGACAGATCCGGAAAGTCTATCCCTGCTGGCGGAAGCTCTCGTTCTTGCCTAATTCTCTGCTTGCATTCTGTAACAAGCAACATCGCAAAAGACGCACAGCTCTGGGCCATGGCGGCCATGGATCCTCGTTCTCGGTTTTGTTTGCAACTTTCTTGCGAACTGACGTAACGATGTAATGGAAGACCGCAGCGAACGACTGCTCTCATGCGTCATGTAAGCAGCTGGTCGAATTCTTCACGTGAAAGCATTGCAACACGCAACCGCTCAAGCGCTGCGAACTGCCGAGTATCAGATTCGGACGAACCGCACTCGAAGAACATCAAAGACGCAACACACACACAAGAAGACTGCAAATTCGTAGTGCCAGGCTGCGACACAGCTGCACCGGACGCCAGCACAAGGCAATTCAATCGTCGAATGGCTTCTCGAGGGAACACGCCGGCTCATTTAGCGAATTGAAAAGTTTGACCGGAACAGCATCGGCCTTGACGACGCCGTCGAGCTCGATGGAAACGTAGCAAAAGCCGTAGGCTCGCCGAGGATCATACCACTTAACTCTTGCCTGTGCAAAGAATCACAGAGCCCGCATAGAGGATAGTGGGACAGAGAATGTGTCAGAGTTGGGGTCAGGAACTAGGGCTACTATGCTCGTGAACGACTCATGACCTACTGACAAAGTCTGCTGACCCCCGAACATAGTGAGAGAGCCAGCCAGCGAGAGAAGCGATAGAGAGAGAGAGAGGGTGACAAAACAAGACGGAAAGAAAGAAACCAAAATCACGAAACAGAAAGCAAGAGACAAAAACAGAGAGAAAGAAAGAGAGCAAAAGAAAAAGAAAGATAGATAAGGGCTCACTCAGTCCTTTTGCACCTCGCCACAAGGGTAACAACGTTGCAGCGAAAGCTGCTCTGTACTTTGCTGCCGGGCGTTGGGCGCGGTGGGTGGGTGAAAGCTTGACACAAAGGCATCGGTACGGTCCCTCGTTCGCCCTTACTGCACAAGGGCTCACTCAGTCCTTTTGCACGTCGCCACAAGGGTAACAACGTTGCAGCGAAAGCTGCTCTGTACTTTGCTGCCACCCCGTATCACCAAGCATATACCCGTGCCTTCAAGCATTGCCAACGCCGTGCAGCAAAAGCGAATGACGTGTAGTCGGAGAAAGGTGGAGCTGATTGCTCCACTGGGCGAAGCGAAAAGCCGCCCCAAAGTTGTTTGTCCAGGCAAAAACCTGCTCTCGTTTCTCCGGCGTCAAGCGAGGCAGGTACATCATAGCAGAGATCTCCTGGACGTAGATCTCCATCACCTTTAGGGTGATCCAGCGGCCTCTCCTCCGCACCAGATCAGGTGACTCTGTTGTGCTCATAAGCCATGTGGCGCCTCCGGCTCGCAAGCTGGCCAGGTCAAAGTCTTTTATCCCAGAGACCGCGTTCTGGGGGAGGCCAATGGCCGCCAAGAGCTTCTTGAACCTAGCCCGCAGCGTACTGGTAGAACCAGAGCGGGGCCAGAGGAAAGCGCTCGGCGCCAGGGAGCCAAAGGCAAAAACAATTGCCTCGACCAGCTGAGGCTGGTCCACCTTCAAGCACTGATGCCGTGCCGCTTTGAACCTTGTCTTGGGCTCCATGATGGACAGGAAGACCTGCGGCAGGACAGAGCCACCGACATCTCCAACGTCCTGCGGCAAAACAAGGCCGCTCCTCCGTGCTTTCATGGCTTCGCCGACTCTCGCAAGGCCGCCCCAGCATAAAGCCAGGATGCCTGCCACATCATCCCAGCCCCATACGTTGGCTATGGCCATCAAGCCCAGAAGGATCTGCCAGGGAAGTGCCGTGTGGTGAGTCGGCGGCTCTTGTCTTTGCCAGGAGAAAGCCAGATCCCACGCTGGCTGGAGGAGCCGCCTGACCGAAGGGCACTCCAGGCTGAAGGCATTGACAGTCTCAGCGTAGTGGTAATAAGGTCTCCCTTCCTCATAAAGCCACTGACCGTACTCAATCAGAACCTCGTTCAGCCTATCAACGTCGTTCCTGGCAAGGCCCAGGACGCCCTCCCAGGTCTGGCCTCTTCGAAGCAACCACTCTGCAAGGAGCTCCTTCAGCTTCTCCCTTCTGTTCCTTGTTACCGTCAAGATAGGACGGCCCTTCTCTAGCTGCGACCCCGCTCGGAGCAGCTTCCTGGCAGCCTCTGCCTTCTCAGCTCTCGTCAGCTCCATGGCGGCAACGGGCTGAACAGAACCGGCTAACCAAACCCAGACCTGAAGCCTACCTGGAGAAAAGGTCGAGGGAGGTCTGGAGCCCAAGAGAAGGAGGAGCAGGAGAGGAGACGGCCGAAGGTTCCAAAGCGAGGGCCCTTCCCCGGGAAAGCCGAGGGTGGCATCAAATCCACGGGAGGACGTGAAAGCGCGCGGCACAGCTCCCCAGCGCGAATCGGGCGAGGAGGGAGCAAGTCAGCGACAGCAGGGTGGACAAGGAAAGTCAGTCGGACCCAGTTCGCGGCCCACCTGCGGAGGCGGGGACGCTTAGCATCAGCAAGGACGCGCTCCTCTGTCCAAAAGTCAGGGCCTAATCCAGTGACAGGAGGGGGGAGCTCGCGATCCCTCGAGGGGTGATCGGCAGGGATCCATCTGGTCGGGCAGAAGAGGCCCCCGTGATAGAGCCCGACACAGGGCAGATGCACGGCGGGTCGCATGCCTAAGTCCACACCGGGCGACCTGAGAATCGCAGAGGTTGCAAAAGCGAAGGGGGCCCCCAGCAAGGGCGAGTCGCAGGAAGAGGCGGCTGATGGCAGAAGCCTCTAAAATATTAATGCGCACATTCCCCTTCCATCTCCAGGACTGGGGGTCTTCCACTCGAGGGAGAGGGCAAGGTCTGCCGTAGCAACCCGCTCCAGGCCCTCAGTCTTCAGGTCGAACTGCGCCAGCCCAGCCAAGGCAGGCCCCGATCGCAAAGAGAAGTCCAGGGCTGAGGCCGGCCCATGCAAGTCCATGCCGGCCCTGCTTTCTTTTGTGAAGGCCCCGACAGGAGCAGGCCCGTCAACCACCCCCTAGCTCACAGTTCACCGTCAGGAAGGTGAATTGGCGCAAGAAGGAGGAGCCAAAGGCACAGGAGGCAGTGTGGAACTCCCCGGCCCAGGCAGCTCACGCAAGCGGCGCCAGCCATCCGACTCCGAGCAGGGTGACGCAGAGAGGACCTGAATGACAGCCGCAACGTCCGAGAGGCGGCTCTTAAGGAGGACGGAGAGGCTCATGAATCAAGAAGAAAATCCACTCGAGGAGACGCAGCCCGGCCAGAGAGTAGAAGGGCGAAACCTGCGAAGAGATCAAGGGCCCCACGCTCCAGCCCCTCCTCGCAACTTCCCCGACCCTTGGCGGGCCCTCTGGAACTTCCTCCCAGTCGGGGTCGGACCTTCGAAGCAGGGCTTGGGAGGGGCGGCATAGGCACCCTTCCTGTCAGCGGTCGCCCAAAGGACCGAGCGGAGCTGAGGAGCCCACCTGCCATGAGGAGCCCTGAGTGGGCGCAGGTGGCGTGTTCAATGCCCAAGTGATCTCCTTGGAGCACCGAAAAAAAGCAGGCCTGCACGAAACCTGGGGCCTGAGCTGGTTTCGGGGGCCCGAGACCTTTGCCTGGAGCTCGTCAAGAAGAGCCCCCACGCAGGGAGGTCCGCAACATCCTCGGCCCGGAGGGCGGGGCGCCTGTTAAGGCGTGCCTTTTTTGGGGAAACCTTAAGCAAGTCGCGGCGGTCGGTCACACAGGCTGCGAAACCCTCGTGAGAGGGGCGAAGGCTGAGGCTCGTCAAGACCTCCCCCGCGGGCAAAGTAGCCGAGGGACTCTGGAGTCGGGCCTCTGCAAAATTCGGGCCCCTGTCTTAGCCGCTTCCCGGACTTCTTTGCACAAAAGATTCGGGTATAGGCCCATTCTGGCAGAGTCTGGCAGGGATGGGTCGAAGGGCTCCAAGCGAAGGAGGCCAAGCTGAGACCAGAGCCGGGCCACACGAAGAGTTTCTTCAGTGCTTTCCTTGCTGCAGTCTGGGAAAGCGCCAGGTGGCGCATGGCCCCCGAAGAGAAGGGAGCGAGGCTCAGAGTAAGCCAGCCAGAGGTCATCCGCCAAGAAAGGCGACGGGTCCCACCGACCCTTTCCGGAGATTTGGAGGCCCTCCGTGGTCATGGACACATACGGTCGCAGGGCCTCGGGGGCCTCACCTGGAGGGATGTCTGGAGCAGGGGGCGGGATCCAAGAGTAAGAGTAGACATCTATCTCCCACACAGCCCAGGGATGTGAACCTTTCCGAAAACTCCCCCAGGCGGGCTTGCAAAACAAGAATTCGACGGCCTGCGCTGGAAGGGATAACCCCCTCCTGGTCACTACCGTAAGTCCTCACGAGTTTCTCGAGGTAGGCCAGGCAACGTGCCTGAGGCTTGTTGGGCTGACGCTGCAAAAGCTCGAGGGGAACAAAGGAGCAGTCCTGGTAGATAAAGTTCAAAGCCATCACCAGGATATGCAGGAGCAACGGGAACAAATGCCAGGCTGGGCCAGGAAGATGGCAGGATGCGGAACCGGAAGCGGAAGGAGGACTGAAGCCGGGCACTCACACCACACCGGCCGAGGTGCAAAGTCTTACTCAGAAAGAAGGAGAAGGGCGTGCGGGCCTTAAGAACTTTCAAACGCGCACTCATAGCCCAGCTCCTGAAAGAGATTGGGGCATCAACCCGGGAAGCCCAAAGAAAACTCTGAACCCCCGTGCATCTTCCAGGTGGCTCTCGATGCAGGGCCCCTGATTTTTCCCAAGGTGCCGCCAATTCAAAACCTGCATGTCCCACAGGCTCACAGCATCCTTTCGCCTCTGGCTAAGCAGGTCGACTTCGGACGTAGGCCAAGGTCAGCGAGGCCAGGCTCTGAGGCACCAGGGGGGAGAAGGCTTTCAGCCTCGTGTTGGCCGCCGGGAGCCTCGCCCCAAACGGGTTGGGGGAAAAGCGTCAACAGAAACGCCAGGTCCCACCGTCCGTTGTCGGCCGCTGCCTGCTCTGTGGCACTTATGGCCAGGGCCAAGTGCTCCCGGGCTGCATGCGTGTCGTTCCTCAGGAAGGTGTCGGCAATGTTCGCCAAGAGGTACATGTGGATCCCCATGTTGCGCTGCTGAGCGTACCCTCCCTGTCTCTCCAGGTCGGTCACCAGAGAGGCGGCCTTGGGCCTGCATATCCTCGACTGCGGCCGGGCAGGGCAGAGCAGGAAAGAGGCACCGGTGAGCCCCCTGAGCCACCTGAACCCGCTTGCCACTGCCCTTCCCTTGCAAGGTGGAAGAAGAACTGGTAAGGTCCTTCCTGGGTCGGCGGCCTGTAGCGGAACCTGTGGGACCTTTGCCGGGGGAGGAAGCCCCTTTGCTAGCACGCCTAAGCCTTGAGCCGGCACCGTGGGACCTGCATGTGGGAAGGCCAGCTGGTGGGCCGGAAGGACAACAAGGACCTGACCTGCCTGCACCTGAGGAGGCTGCGGGAAGCTCGGCACCTTTGGCAGGACCTGACCTGCGACCTGCGCCTGACCTGCGTGTATCTGGGTTGCCTGAGCTGCTGTTGGGAAAACCTGCTGCACTGGAGTCTGCGCCTGGGTTGCCTGACCTGCTGTCGGGAAAACCTGTTGCACTGGCGTCTGCGGTTGCAGCGTAGAGCCGTGCCAGCAGAGAGCTCCAACCTGTTTTGCCGCTCCACCACCTCCTTCATCTGGTCTATCAAGCCCGGGAGGAGGCCGGCTAGCGAGCTGACCTGTTCCGACAGCTGGGTGACCGTCATTTTTGGGTGCGGGCGTCCTCTTGGGGCTCCCTTGCCGTCTGGCGGCTCGTCCTCGGGCCGGGAGGGTCTTCGGCCGCGGTGTAGAAGGCAAGCTTCTCTTGGCGATCCGCAAGGAGCCATTGGCGAGCAGCCCCCATCATAGCCTCCCCCTGTGGGACAAGCTGGGGCGAGCCCTCGACGAAGGACGTGACATTGATGTCGCGAAGAGGGTCATGAGACCCAGGATGCCCTCCTCCACATCCAGAAGCAGGGCCGGGCAAGGCATGCCCGTGGGGACCTCCTCCCCAACATCGTCCTCCTCGATCGTCTCTATCTCCTCCAGCTTGAGCTTGGAGGGGCCCAGCACATCGAGAGGCTCCTCCGAGGAGCGGTCTCCCAGCAGTGAGGCATGTACCAAAGCATACCATAAATCCTCCAGGCCGCCGCAAAAGGGGAAGGCACAAGACCGGGAGGTCGCGTCTGCCACCGCAGATCAGTGGCCAGAGAAGGCGGCAAGGGAGTCCAGGGGACTCCCCATCCAGCTTTAGGTCCTCGACCTGCATCATGCCTTGAGATCCGGCCAGGCAACTCCGGCTCCGCAGCAGTACACCTTCGCCTCTGCAAGGGACCCAAAGGAGTGGCAGACGGCGTCGCTGCCGCTAATCTCCCCGATGTGCGCCCGGAGGGCCGAGAAGGATGCAAAGCGCGCGGGAGCGTCCAGCCGGGAGCTCCGCAGCACCACGTACACCACGGGTCGGACCACCAGATTTTCAGAAGACAAGGGAGTGGCCCAGCGGCCCGAAAGGACTTCAGCAGACCACTTCCCTGCACGCCAAGCACGCTTGGCACCGGCCTCGGGGCCCAAGTTACCGGCAGTGAGCCGGCTGCACAGGTCAATGCAGTACTGGGGACACTCGGGGAAGGAGGCCTCAGTCTCGGACCGGCTGGCCCTTGGGAGCGGAGCGGGTTGCTTAGGGTGAAGCAGCAGGAGCACTCGGAGCGCTCTCAGACACAAGCTCCCACTCAGGAGCAGCCTCTGTCGAGGCTCGGGGGGGGCGAGCTTCGGATGCTCGCAATGCGCAGCCTCTCAAGGGCGAGCTGCACCTCAGTGATAGCAAGTGACAGATCCGCAGGATCACTGGCTGAGGAGCAGGAGAAACGGCAGGCCGGGCAGAAGTCCAGGGAGAAGCCGGCTAGGGGAGCGGCCCAAACAAAATCCAGCGAAGGAAGGTCGAGACGAGGGCCCCAAGGCTGAAGCCGCAAAAGAACACAGAGGCCAAGAGGACGACCGAAGAAGAACAATGGGCGGGACAGGCCAATCCAAACCAACCGTGCGAGGATCCCCAGGCGAGAAGGGAGAGAGCCTGACCCAAACCTTCCCAGAAACCCATTGAAAGCTTGACACAAAGGCATCGGTACGGTCCCTCGTTCGCCCTTACTGCACAAAGGAAAAAGAAAGAGAACAAAAGAAGAAAGAGAAAGAAAGATAAATACAGAGAGAGAGAGAGAGACAGGGGAGAGCGCGAGAGAGAAAGAGACAGAGACAGAGGGAGATGGAGCGAGAGAGAGAGAGAGAAAGAGAGACAGAGAGGGAGAGGGAGAGGGAGAGGGAGAGGGACAGGGAGAGGGAGAGGGAGAGGGTGAGAGCGGGTGCATGTACCGACAATTGATGACTCCTGCTAGAAATTCTTAACAGCTCCGTGCTGGCTTTCGAACAAGGTTGTTTGTGTTTCAGGTTGCTGCAACTGCCCTGCCCAGAAAGCGAACACTAGTCACAACTACAAAGAACAGGCCCTGACTTTCTTGCGGTGGATTGGGTCTTGCATGCCAAGCGTTGCTGATTTCGTTGGCCAGCATCACAACACCTTGCGCTGGCCCAGCCCCATGATGTCATTGACAACCATGGGACAACACAAGCACGAGTCTTGTTTCTGGTGGATCGAATGACGCAAGAGGGTTTGGGAGGGGTGCCTGCCGGCATTGGACAAACACTCGCGGCTTGAAGCAAGGGCTACATGGAATGAACGGGTCTGGACGCCTCGGAATACTGGCCTTGCAAGGTCTGTTTGCCGTTTATACATGTGCATGTATTTATGTATCTACATACATACATATACATATACATATATAAACACACGTTAACTTAAACATGCATACAGGAGGGAGGGAGGGAGGGAGGGAGAGAGGCAGAGAGAGAGAGAGAGAGAGAGCCACGAGACTTGTTTTGCGTGAATTGGGAGCTGCACTTAAAATCAACGAAACATCGTAGTGGGGATTGCAACATGATGCAACATGGGTTGTCGTATGCTACAACCGGATATCACCAGCACTAACATGGAACATGTGATGGTGTGGGTTCTGCTTCACAATAACGTGTCGTGACAACTTGCCGACGAAACTTTCAACCCCAAACCCTGCAGCTTACGCATGCCCCGCACACTCTAACCTAAACTGACGTAAACCAACCAAACCTCGACACGGCCTAGCCCAGCCGAACCGAAACAATCCCGTCTTAATCTGACCTAATCTATACCCAACCTTCCTCAAGATCAGATACGAAGCACCTAAAACCCAAACCACGAAACAACACACCAACTATCCAAATCGTTGCCTCAGATGCGAGTCCAACACGGGTAGGCCTAACCCCACAATTTGGCCTTGAATCGACAGCCCAAACATACCTCGCACACATTCGAAATCTTAAACCTTTCCTCAAGTTAACCAACATTAACCGAACCTCCCCTAGCCAAGCCCGCGCCATCCCAGTCCGACCGAGCTTCTTTCCAACAGACTTTCTAGCAAACCGTCCCCATGTCTTGTGCCTAGTTGTACTCGAACTCTGGACGTTCAACCTCGCCAATACTAACTGACTAATCTAGCAAAGCGACACAACCACCGAGTGGACGTCCAGGCCTGTAATCTTTCTCTTTCCTCTGCCTCCATCCCTAAGAACACTCTGCGTCAGCTCACCCCACACTTCTTCCACACATTGTCAAGATCTACAGCATGACCACGGGACATCTGCAATCCTGGAGCCTAGCGGGCTGCACAGATTGCTCCGACTGAGGGCCAGCGAAAGGGGAGTGAGGAGCAAGCGAAAGCTGGAGTGGTGAGGTAAACGGAAGTGGGAGTGAGTAGGAGGAGTGAGAGTGAAGATTGCTATAAAATAATACAGTACCGTGCACACCAAGACCAAACAGAGACCAGATCACTCGGAGTGTGGGGGGGGCGAAAACCAGTCCCCCACCCACGAGCAGATATCGATGCATTGGACGCACATGCGTGCACTGGTACATGGAAACTCGGCGAGTACACAAAACCGATTTTATGGGATATTTTCACACACAGGCACAAGCTGACAGACAGGCAAGCAGGCTGACAGTCATAACGGCGATTGCATTTGCTGTAGTTTCAATAGCTTCAAAGTGACGCGTAAAAGATTGAAACTTCCAGGTTTCAGGGTTTCAGCACGTGGGTGTTTGGGATTCCGGAGTGTTGGTGTCGGTTGAAGATGTTGGGGCTGGAGGTAGACATGCTGGAACCGCATGCCTAAGCGGCCGTGAGCTAAGCAGCCAAGAAAAGAGTCAGGCTCAAAAAAATGGCCGGCTAGCGGCAATTCCTTACCAGGGGCTGTCCCGGGCTGCTAGAGAACCAAGTGGTTGCTATCTCCAGTCTTGTTTCCGTTGCCAGTCGCTGTAAGGGTCGATCTGATCCCATGGCGAAAACCGTTTGTGGCACGCGGTCAAATTCGACCACTATCTAGAGAACCTCTGCTTCCAAATTTGATACTTGCTCCTAGCATCAAGCCAGTAACATCGTGACATCGAGTACGGCACCGCGTCGCCACTTCCTGTCGAATGATGACTTGAATAGATGATGCAACCATTCTGCCAGGGTACACGACAGTTCGAAATGACAAAATTGAGCCGCAGCTGATTGCTATCATCGTTTGCCAGCTCACGATGCCCCGTTCTTTGACAACGTTTATGTTCACGCGTACAGAACCAGCATTTTGGGCACCCATGTTGTACCACTGCACTCCTGTCGACAGTTTTGGGCAAAGTGCTACGACCTCGCCGCGATGTCCTAACGATGTTCCACCTGTTCTTGATATTCCAAGGTCATCTCAGGGAGAACTTGTTGGACGTCACATGCATGATTCTGTTATGCTGCAAGGCGTCACGGAAAGGATATTCGCACGGAAGAAGCAAAGAGACCACGGTTTTCCCACCTGTGTCTGGCCGTTTGTGGGCAGCGGCCGGATCAGGAACTCTATGCCGTGCTGTCCGACACCCTCCAATAGAACGACCAGATTCGACGACACCACAACTTGTGACTCCAAAAGTTGATCAATGATATGCCTCGACTTTCACGACACAGGATGTCAATAGCCACAGAATTAGTTTATTTGCACCAACTTGCGCCAGCACAAAGCCGCACGTCAGCAATAGAGCCACAACGGCGTGAGCATTTTGGCACAAGCACCATGGCTTGGTCGAAATTTTGGCCTTGCACCCTTTCTGTTCTTCAACCTTTTGCACTCAATGCTGCGTTAAGACACCGCGCCAACCGACATGGAGGCGGTCGAGAAGCCCCCCAAGATGTCCTTCTCACTAGCTGGGAGAAATGCAAGCCGGCATCCAGACAGCGAATATTCAGCACACGTCGCACCAGACAATAATTTCCTCTGGCAATCCCAGCAAGCGCCGTCACTTTGTTTTGTTTCGGGATACTGCAATCGCCGTCCCAGATGGGATACGCAGTGGGTTGCGCTCCGGCCAACCACGGGCAAGAACCTTGATCTATACAATACTGGCATGGAGGAAGCGCTCTCGACGATCTCGCTGGGAAATCCCCACGCTCTAGTCGAAGTGTGAGAAGCCCTTTGGCGTGCTGTGATACGGATAGTGAGCAAGCTCTCCGTGATCTTGGCGCATGTGGCCATGGTCTTGGGAGCAGCCTCACATTTGGGGCCGACTTTATGCGGCCAAAAAGCAGTTGCAGCAGCACCAGAAACGCGACACATGGTTTCGTCTCTATACAGCCTCTTCCTCAAATGCCCGCAGGCGCATGCTTGGTGGTTGTGTTGGGATCTAGTGGCGCACGCTTCTGCAAGATGGTGCCATGCACTTGGGAGCCACTGAGCCAATTGAATCGGGAGCGTCTGGTTTTATCTGCACTGCCGGGACCAAGCTCCGCTCCTGTAGCAGTCTTAAAGCTGCCAGCCGCTGGGGCTCGAAGATTGGCACATCGGTAAGCGTGCGGCGATCTGGCCGGTGGTCACCATTGCCGTGAATAAGTTGGAGGCGCTGCAGTTGCCAGAAGACCGTTAAGCGGACCAGGGTGTTCCATCTGATTAAGGCGATACCGACGCAGGATGTCGGTGAAAATGGCATTAGTGCAGGTGGTGCCACCAGAACACCCGGCAGCACGTCGATCGACGAGCCGGCTTTGGCGAAGGAAGCCCCGCAGTGAAGTAGTAAGATTCAAGCGGGTCATCCCCATGGCGAGTTGCGAGCAGGTACGGGGGCACATGGATGATTGGGGCTGGGACCCATTGAAGCAGAACGACGCAGAACGCACGCGCACGCTTCATTACGCTTCAGACAAAGGTTCTTCGAGCCGACGGCGTACCTGGAGGACGACGCTGCCAAGCTTGTTCGGGGGTGCACGGCCAAACCCTTAGCCTGAGTCGCCGTGTTGCAAGGATGGAGCTTTTCTCGAATGGGCGGCCGAGATCCCCCCGGCCTCTGGACCTCCTCACCGCAACCCCTTGCCGCTTTGCGCAGACAATGGGCAAGCACCGCCGAGACTCACCACCCGCCTGCAGCTCGAGCATCGAGGCTCCCACAGGATTGAGTATTCTTAAGCTTAAAGGCTCACAAGCTGTCAGGGAGCCTTGCCGCTTTTGTGGAACCCCGCGTAGAAGTCCTAATAAATCCTACAAGGGCACGCTTGGAGCCTTTGGCCCCATGTGGGGCCTTAGCGCTTGCCCGGCGGAGTGAATTTGCAGCATGGGCTTCCACCTGCTCACCAGCTGCAAGTTTCGGCTTGGAAACAGGGGGGGGTGCTCCGTGGCGGTTCAAGAAGTTCTTTCTTGCTAATTCTCACCGCTCAGGACATGCGGTGGCACGGCGGCGCTGCCGGTCCGCTGCAAACCGCCCCGTTTTCTCGCTGCAACGATGGGAGCGAACAGAAGCCCCTCCCGGCACTGGGCTTCAGTGGCATGGAGCGCACCTTTCCTGGACTCATATAGTCGTGTGTCCTCTGTCTGTAGCGGCGATATTCGTTCACAGCGCATGGCGCATGCCACTTTTAGCCGCCAACTCAAACAACAGCCACTGGGTATTTCCAACTTGGAACTTCAAGTCAACATAGACTGCCTGACATGAAGTATGCCACTCTTGGGCCCCTTGGGCAGTATTGCCAGTGACAAAGCCAGTGTAATTTCACGTGTTTGTACCCTGCTCGGCGATTTTGTTCCAGCGGAGTCTTTACCATGTGATTTCAACCGATTCGGTTCGAGCATTCATGTCGATGCGTTGTCATAACACATAGGCCTGCGTTGAAAACAACGAGCCGGAAAAGATACCTGCGGTGATCGCAGTTTTAGGGGCGACTATGTTGCCGGATGATAACGGCTCTGCTGTCTGTTGCACTGTAATCGAGAGAGCAGCCTTCCAAAGTGATCAGAGAATAAAGGGGAACCCCCTTGCCGACGCCTAGATCCCTGCTATATCAAGAGCAAACGCCCTAACTCTCTCGTGGCCCAAAACCAAATCTGTAAACATCAAGCTCCAAAGGCGATAGCGTTCGAGAGTGGCACACACCGCAACAGCGCAAAAAAACCGACGCTTGCCAGCGAATAAAGGTAATGTCTTTGCCACTTACGTCGAGCTTCCGCCTTTCCCTGAAATCCGAGCTCCCGCTGACGAACGCGTCTACTGGCTGCCTTAAATGAGTTTTGATCCAATTGCTTCATCCCGGAATGACTCTCTTCGCGAAAAATGACTACCTTTCGCAACATCATCGCGGATTTTTCATGGAGGCCTTTTTACATACTTGCGCAAGTTAGAACCCTTGGCACTAGGCACTGCACATAGCATGAACCGGAGCAGTAGCAATCGCAGCTGTCGGCGGTGGTCGTATAAGGTTGTGGGTAGTGGGTATGGCGGGTAGTGGTACTAAGGGGTGACGATACCAACTGCAGCAGTAGCAGCAGTAGCATGTAGTAGCAGTATTAACCGTGATAATAACAATAGTAAGCAACAATAGCAATGGCAACAGTAATGGTAGTAACAATATTGGTAGTAGTAGAAGTAGTAGTAGGAGGAGGAGGAGGAGGAGCAGCAGCAGTAGTAGTCGTGGTGGTGGTGGTGGTGGTGGTGGTGGTGGTGGTGGTGGTGGTGGTGGTGGTGGTGGCCGTAGTGGTAGCAGTAGCAGTAGCAGTGGCAGTAGCAGTAGCAGTAGTAGTAGTAGTAGTCGTCGTCGTCGTCGTAGTAGTAGTAGTAGTACATACAATGATAAGAAGAAGAGTAGTAATCACGGTAATCATCGTACGAATACTGATAACTGTTTCAACACAAACAGTCGTAACGATAAGAACAATACAAAGTAGCAAGGGCAATAGCAACAGCAAATGGCAATAGTAATAGTAACAGTGATAGTACGACAAGTAGGCAAAACAGAAAACTTTCGCAAAAAGAGAAGAAACGGCACCATCGCAGAACTTTCCAGCTGGCCTTAACTCTAAGTTTGGCTCACGGAGCTTCAGATCAACTACTACATGCCAAATGGGAATTCTGCTTGGCGCCTGTACAAATTTCATGCCCTGGCGGAGCCCACCACACATGCAGCGCTTCTCGGCATCAATGCTCGCATCAGGATGTGACATCGCTCTGTACTTTGCGCAATAGTGTGGCTTGCTCACTACTACTGTTGAACGGCACACTCAAGCCACACGCAAGAGAGTTTTGGCCAAGATCGCATTAACAGCTACGCGTCTCGGGCAGTATAAGTTCTTCAGATCACGTGTTTGTGCCCAAAGTTTCTGTACTCCTGGAGTAGATGACTTCAGGAGCACTGAGTTTGTGTTTCGACCCAAGCTTCACGAGATTTCACATGTGCACCACATTCACTTTTTGCGAGACTATCAAAGCGATCATCCTGCAATATATTACACATCGTGTAGCAGGGCTGGATTTAAATCAACTCATCCACACACACCCTGGCGAATTGCCCTGGCGCTTGACTGGAGTTGCCGTTTGGCAGTACAGTCCGAACCTCGTCACCATGTTGGGCCATATGCATGCACAAGAAAGCCGTCTGCAACGCTGACACGAAAAGCGCGAAACACGACCTACATGTACTGGTAGCTGCCATTGGCTGCCACTGAAACCTGACATCCTCAGATTGCGTCGCAGGCATCTCTTCGCACCTGCCGATGCTTCAAGACTGCCAGCAATGCTGGCTGGCACTTGCAGTGGTTCGCAGGCATGAGCAATTGAAGTTCGCAAGAAAACGTGTCTGACCTAAACTCTCAAACTCTGAAACCCTTCAGAATGTGTGACGGAACGTGTTGTATTTACTGTTTGGCCTACGGCCTAGCGGCCTAGCAGTGCGGCCTTCGTTTGGTCATAGGTCTAAGAGCATGCGGGCAGGATCCTCCAAGACAAGGACAGATGCGTGCAGGTGTGACAGTCACCATCCACCCAAGGTCCTGAAGTTTGTCCCGGACGTTGCAGAGGAACGTGACGGCCTCGCGGCCGTCTACCAGTCGGTGGTCGTAGGTCAAGGAAGTGAACCTGGCAGATGGGAGACACTGTGAGTGCGGAAAAGAACATCGTGAACACTTTGCAGGGCAGGCATGATTGGACGAGCTTCCACTTTGCCGTCAACTACCGTCACGCGTCTCTTGACCGCATTGGTTCCTGGCAATGCGCAAATGTAGTGGAAATGTCCAACGATATCTCGACCTAAGCTCGCCACCCATCGAAGCGCTCTGCGGGAAGTTTCTGCAGACACACACTCAGCAAACATGTTCTCACAGCTCCTCGGGACGAACGAACACCAAACACTGGGGGCCCGGACATGATTCCAGTACCAAGCATTCCCCCAGCGATGCCGGCATCCACGATGCCGAAAGTCGACTGGCTAAGATCCTCTACGCAGAGCTCGTCCCGTGCGGCTCGATCTGTCAGCCTGTCCGTTCGGGCGGCATAATTGGGCAACATATCTTCACGGACCGAGCGGTGGTGACGCTCGCTTTGCAGGTGCAAACGTGTCTCCGGCACCCTGCGATCTCGTGCTCCATATCGCGGATGGACATGGACTGGGCATCCCTCAACGTGCAGGCAATAATGCCCCGCGGACTGGGGATGGGAATGCTGATGTCCACCTCAGAGATGTTGCACTCCAGACGCCGCAAGTGTGGCCAGACATAGGCCAACTCAGGCGGGAACGTAGTCTCTCCAAACGGTCTCCTTGGTCCTGAAAGCTCAGGAACTGGGAAGCCACTCTTCAGGGCAGAATCTTGATACCACTGACATCAAGGCATAGGACAGCAACATTGCGGGAAGGGTACAATATTCCCACATCCAACACGGTCGCAGAGCCACACATGGTATGCATAACATCAACAACAGCAGTTGAACGAGCATTTGCGGCAGTGGTCCCGTCATCAATAATCGCATTGACGCCGGGGACCTGCGGCAACGACTGGCCTCATGCTGTCGAACTGGCGATAAATCGACTGTGGCCTCATTGATCGTCAGGCAGCTGGCCTTGCGATGTCAGCAAGAGCTACGCAGAGGATCGACACATCTCGTCGTATCGCTGACGGTTGAATTTCCGGACCGCATGTTCGAACACTGCCGGCTGTCGGTTTCGATCATCACTCACAGGAATGGACAACTTCTCTTTCTTCTCCCCTCCGACCGTGTTCGGGCGTCAACCGTTTACGCTCTACTCCACTCAGAGTGTATCACGACTCGCTCAGCATGATAATCTAGTTTCCCACGTACGTTAGGCTTTACGGCTTGCTATTCGTTATTTCTCTGGGTGCTGAGACTTGCCAGTAACGCACTCCTGCCCTTTCTGTGCTTAAGTTTTGCGTTGAGGGTTTAGGGGCCAGTCGGGCTTCAGGCGTTTTGCTATTCATGCCCCGCTCCTTCTGTGCACTGCTTCAAGGTCTGACGGAGGTTCCCCTTTAAGGCGGAGCTGGTTTGCCCTGGACCTCTCCTTTCAAGTTCAGGTTAGCACGTGCCCTTCAAGCGGTAGAATCTTGCCTCCGCTCGCAAGTACGACTCTCTTCAGGATTTGGGTGTACCGTCTCTTCAGCTTTGGGCTTGTTGGGTTTGGGTTTCTTGCTCAGAGCTGTTCGGTTCGGGAATCTCAGGGGTTCAGCGCTAACCCTAAACCTTTTCACCTTTCAGCTGCTGTGGCTAAACCCGAAAACTAACCCTAAAAGGCGCAAACATGGGATCGACGAAAAAGATGCCCGGATGTTTTCCCCTGTACTTCTTACTGCCGCAAAATTTGCGACGCCTCATGACACCGTTTAGCCCTGACCCTAAACCTGCAGAAGCTGAGCACCAGGTGTTGTGAGCCCTTGATTCTCGCCGCCCTTTCAAGGGAAGGCTGCGGAAATACGTCCCTTGGGTCACACATGCGAAGCTCTGTACGACACCTTTTTACAGCATGATGTATAGCAGCAAGAGATAACAGCCTGCGTCTTGTACAATAAAGCAGGATGACTCATGCACCAAGCACTTACAGTTTTGTTGTCGCGAACGGAAAAAATTCGATGTCCGAGTGCTAGAGCCGATGGAGTCAGCTGGAAGCATCGGACTGCCTGGAGCCTCACGGCTTCATCAGGTTATGAGCGCCCAAGGGGATGCTCCGCAAATGAATGGTACGGTGGAAGCGCAACCACTGCAAGCAGGCTCTGGATCCCGAGAGGATGTTTCTGGAGCGGCGAATGGTGCAGACAGCACCGTGGCTGGGAATGAATCCCGGGAGCAAAGAAGGGCTGCGATCAATGAGCCTTCGTTGCCCGGACCTTCCCAGAGCGGACAAGAGCCGATGCCATCTACCTCTTCAATGGGAGATACAACCGTCCGCCAGCAGGCGGAGCGAGAGCAAGCTGCGACGATTGGCGAGGCGGGTACTGGCCCGGGGGTAGAAGGTGTGGCGAGGCACTACATTAATGCTGATGCACAACTGGAGTATCTGACCCCGAGATCAACGAGGTCAGGAGCTGGACAGCCAGCGTGGCTGTCAGCATTAGAGTTGCCGAGGTGGATGACGCGTTTTTCCACCTACTTGAGCGCGCCGGGGCGAGATCAAACTGCTCCGAGCCCGCTGACAGGCGGTGCTTTGCCGTCACCGGGTGGCCAGGCCTTCGTGCTTAGGTCGCCAACCAGGCTGGGGCGACAGGTTCGCCCACCGACTCCTCCGAGCTCCTCGAGCATTCCAGCGGAAGCTATTCAGGCAGAAGTGCAGAGGCAAATGTCTGGGTTGCTGGTGAGACTACAGGAGGCGGAGGAGCGCAATGCAGAGCTGAGTGTTCAGCTTGATCGAGCCAGAGCGGAAGCTCTGACGGTAAGAGAAGAGGTGAGACATCATGGAGGGCTATGGGGTGATCTTCTTCAAGCTCCATCAGGTCCTGGCAGTCTATGGGGTTTAGGGCTACCAGAAGGAGGGCCGGGTCTTCAAGGGAGGGATTCGGGACTACCCCAACATTCCGGAGTACCGAGAGATCCTAACCTACCCCAACATTCCGGAGTACCGAGAGATCCTAACCTACCCCAACAAGCCGGAGTACCAAGAGATCCTAACCTACCCCAACAAGCCGGAGTACCAAGAGATTATGTCCTACCTCAACACGTCGGTGAACCAAGAGGGCATCTACAGGGTGAACCACCAGGTCTCGAACAGCAGACACAACCCCTACCACCTCCGCTACCACAAGCTCAGCGAGAATCACAGCCTGAAGAGTCCGTGGGCTTGCTGAGATCTTTGTTGGGAAGACAAAGAACTCCTTCCCCACCTCCTACACGCACAGCTGAGTCGCCAATGATGGAAACGATAGCCAAAGGAGTGCAGCAACTTCAACAACTTCAAGCTCAGGCGATGACGAGATCTACTACCTCAGCGGGCGCTGATCCTCTGAAGTCAGGCACTACAGCTTCAGCTCCGCTACCAGACTTACGAGGAGGGGCAGAAGCGTCATTGAAGTTTCAGGACTGGTTGGAGATTGCAGGGACAAGCATGGCGGATGTGAGCGAGCAGAGCGGGAAATGGTGGCGCGCTATGATAAGTCTGGTTGAAGCTGCCTACGCGAGGTGGCTAGCAGCCACACCCTTGGAGCGGCTGGCCATTCAGCCAGAAGGGACAGCGGACTTGTGTGAAGGGCAGTGGATGCGGATGAATGCAAGAGCGTCTACAATGCTGCTGAACGTGATGACGGATGAGCTCAAGGCGGACATGTTGGCGCAGAGGGTCTCTGGGGACACCGGGAAGATTGTCTTTCGGTTGTTTACATGGTTTCAGCCAGGGGGCTCTGCAGAACGTCAGGAAATTCTTCGCCGCCTACAGGTACCCAATGAGTTCCTGGCCACCGAGAGCGTTGATGAAGTGCTCAAAACACTGAGGGCCTGGCCGCGCTGGCTCAGCAGGTGCAAAAGCATGGGGATGACTCCTCCTGACCCTACAGTGATGGCGAGGGGCATGATGAACCTATCGACGAAGACAATAGCCCTAAGCCCTGATGCCACGTTCCGAACTGCTATGCTCAGGACTACGGTTCGTCTTGACGGGCAACCAACAATGGAGCAAGTGTGTGCCTACCAAAGGCACCTACAGGCCGAAGTTGAAGGGCTAGTGGCTGGGATGATGCATGCGACGCCAGTGGCTCCTCGGGTTCAGGCCGTGGACGCACCATCTCCGAAATCAGACAAGGAGAAGACCACGACCGATGTCTGCCGCTACTTCCTGAAGGCTGGAGGCTGCAAGAGGGGAGAGAAGTGCAAGTATGTACACTCACTTCAGAGCTTAGACCGCGATGCCAGAGCAAAGAAGTGCCTCCGGTGTGGAAGTGAGGCTCATAGAGCCAAGGACTGCCCGATATCCAAAGGTGGACCGCGCGGCCCGGGGCCAGCAGCCCCAACCGGAGGTCTTCGTGAGCCAAGGGGGCCAAGACAAGGACAGCAGCGAGATCCGGAGGTTGCCACTTTGAGTACTACGGCGACGGCGGGGTCTACTCTTGGGAGCTCTACATCATCGACTACAACGGTGGAAGGAGTTCCGTGGACCCTTGAAGCCCTAGTGCAGGCGGCGTACCAGGTTGTGCAAAGTCAAAACCAAGGACAGCGGGGTGATTCGTCACCCGAGAAAACAAAGCCGGAAGTTAAGATGATGATCATCCAGGACATCCGCGTGGAGGCAATGGGAACTTCAACGGCGCTACTGGACTCAGGTGCTACCCACTGCTTGAGAAGTGCAAGAGACGCTGACGAATGGGAGGCGTCCACAGAAGTGATGGTGCAGCTCGCGGGTTCCAGCAAGCTCCTCATGCGTATCAACAATGGAGGATCACTCCTGATGCCACCGTCTTCTACCTCAGGGGCAGCGGCGGGGTCAACTCAGACCATGGTGCCGGTAGGTATGCTGGTGTCTACGTTGGGTTATCGTCTAGACTGGGGACCTCAGCATTGCAACCTTATTGATAAGGACGGAGCGGTCACGAAGCTACGAGTTCAAGGAGGGTGTCCACAACTATGTGAGCTCGAGGCCCTGGCGATGATCTCTCGTATTGAGGACCGGCGTCGAGAGGCTTTGGAAAATATGACACAGCACACCGAGGACACCGTGAACTTGGCCGCAGTCTACATGGAGCGAACTTGGCACGACTACCTCAAGGAGTATGTGGATACTGGTGACTTAGGGACGGGCTTGAGAAGCCTGCGTGATGCCCCGTTCTTTCAAGGGCTTCCTGGGCAATGCTTTGAGGGAATAGTCGACGCTAACCTCAAGCGGGAGGGCTGGAAGGTGATGAAGGGTGTGGACTTCCTCTCGAGGCCCCAGCGCAGGAGACTCTGGGGGGCGAAGCGGTGGATCATCCACCTTTACGCGGGCAACCCAGGACACTACCAGGTCTTTCAAGCGGATGAGCATGATACGGTTGTGCTTGAGTTGGATGTGGATAGGTGCAAGGGCCACGACGTGATGAGGAGTTCTACGTGGAAGCTGTTGCAACTTGGAGCGGCTATGGGAAAGGTTGATGCAGTTGTGGGAGGACCACCAGGTCGGGCAGGTGTTCTACAGGAAGGAGAAGTTCCAACGGAAACCGACATCAAGGCGATGAGTTTGATGGCCCGGATGCTGTGGCTGTACGCGGTGTCAGAGGCAGCTCGATCGACCAAGGCAGCGGGCTCCAACTACCAGCGGCCTGTGGGATTCATGATGGAGCACCCGACTAGGAGCGGAGGAGGAGACGGTGATCCGGTTGATCGCTCAGTGTGGGCGACTACAATGTGGGAGCAGTTTGCGACCTACTACCAGATGAGCGAGGTAAGGTTCGACCAGCGGGCAATGGGAGCTAAGACGTCAACGCCTACTACCATGGGTACCAACATTTACTACTTGATGGGTCTGGAGGGCCTGGGTTTGGAGACGGAAGGAGGCGGCGAGGAAGGAGCACCGAGAACGGGGGTGTGGGCACCGGGCTTTGTGGATGCGCTGGTGACCGCGCTGAAGTTCTGGACGAGAATGCCCCGGGAAGCTCCTCGCGTGATGGCGTTCACCCCAGCCCAATGGAGGGCCCATGTTCAGTCGAACCACGCGGACTACAGGAGAGACTGTCTTACGTGTGTGATGGCAAGAGGTACAGGAAAAAGACATGGTCGAGTTCGGCATCCTGATCAATTTTGTCTGACGGTGGACGTAGCGGGACCAATAAAGGCTGGACTTGATACAACGTCGAAGGGGGCAATGGGGAAGGGACTACGCTACATGATCGTGGCAAAGTTTACTCTTCCGAAGGAGTTCGTAAAGGGCTACAGCGGGCGAGAACCACCAGGTGACGATGGAATGGGCGATGTTGGGGAAGGATGGCGACCACCAGGTCAGGAGGAGGAGGCGAAGCAACCCATAGCAACCCAAGATGACAATGAGCTTGCAGAACCTTCTCTACTACCACCACCTGGAGGCCAATCGCCAGAGCAGCCCATAGCAACCCAAGATGACGATGAGCTTGCAGAACCTTCTCTACTACCACCACCTGGAGGCCAATCGCCAGAGCAGCCCATAGCAACCCAAGATGACGATGAGCTTGCAGAACCTTCTCTACTACCACCACCTGGAGGCCAATCGCCAGAGCAGCCCATAGCAACCCAAGATGACGATGAGCTTGCAGAACCTTCTCTACTACCACTCCTGGAGGATCCGTTTATAGTTACAGCTGACGAGCACGGGGGGTCCCATGATGAGACAGGCGTGGTCGATGAGCCAGTGGTGATCGAGTCGTATGCACCGAATGCCAGTCGGAGGGAGTTCCTAGGGGCCACCCAGCAGCAGAGGACGGACTTCGTGGATTACGAGGATTCAATGTATGAGCCGTCTGAACCAGGAGGTGATGTTGCAGAAGAACCACCCGGCGATGATGAGCAAGGTCGTCCAGCTACAAGAGGTGGGATGCAGGATTGTGAACCCCCTGAATCCACTTCACTACTCTTCGCTAAGGCTCTGAAGGACAATGGCTCTATGGCGGTGAAGGCGGCAATCCAAGACATCATCTTGTACTTACAAGCGCATGGACTGCCAGTACACAGACTGCACTCGGATAAGGGTGAGACCTTCAACCACTATATCAGGCAATGGCTACGTGATCAAGGAGTGCGTGCCACATGGTCGGAGCCGGGAGTACCTCAAGGAAATGGTCGTGCCGAAAGTACGGTGCGCTGGGTCAAGGACCAGGCGCGAACCTTGATGATGGGAGGCCGTGTTCCAACCCGGCTGTGGCCGGCGGCTATAGAGGCAGCAACGGCTATACAGAGGTCGCGGGTGCTGGGCTGGAAGTCAAAGTTGCTGGCACCTTTCGGTGCTCCGGTCGTCATGAAGCAGAAGGTCTTCGATTCATCGGGTCCACGAAGGCGAGAGCGAGCAATGGAAACGAAGTGGGCTAAGGGGCAGTATATGGGCCTCAGTAGCTTGCTGGACAATGGCCACGTCGTGTACATGGCTCCTACGGAGGATCAGAAGGAAAAGTTCTGCCATACCTTTAACGTTCGAGCGGGGCTAGTGGACCCTGGACCACCAACCGAGGAGCCGCCATGGGGGATCAGTGGGCTGGCTCAATGGAACCCAGGACTACCCCGAGGTGACGCGTGTTCTGTCGACCAAAATCCTGGAAACGTCACCAGAGGCTACATTTACTTCTATGTGGGTGTCGCGGGCGTCAAACAGAGGTCAGCATAAGGACACCAACAATGATGAAAACACCCAGAACTTCGTGCTCCCCATCAAGCTACCGGAACGTGGGGGAGAGATATGGGTGGAGCTCGCGGCAGGTGACAAAGTGGAGGGACAGGTGACGGACAAGTATGATGAGAAAGGAAAACGTCATTTTGGACAACTGCTACCTCTACGCCTTCATGAAGTACAGCCGTGGGAAGGAGAGCGAATAGTTCTTATTGGATACACCCCGCAATGCTTGGGGAAGCTCTCGGCGGGTACGATCGCCAAGTTGGAAGATTGTGGCCTGGTACCCCCACTGACGCAGATGCCGGAGTACTTCATGAGTGGAAGCGACGAGAAGGCGAACATCAATACCGTGGGTGTCGTGGAGCCTAGAGAACAGGAGGAGGACCGTGAAGAAATACCAGTGGATGGTGATGACGAGAACTGGGAAATGTTCCTGGAAGTAGACCGGGGCGCGGTTAAGGTCGGAAGCTCGCTCGAGAATGAAGTTCATGAGCGACCCCAAGCTATGAAGGTGGAGGTTAACTACACCTATGGGATCGAGAAGTTGCTGAGCGAGTTGGCCAGTCCATTGGAAGTAACTCATACAGTTTGTCCTCATGAAGCAATGGCTGCGATTGACCTATGGAAGGAAGCAATCCTCAAGGAAATGAGCAGTGTGGAAGTCGCAATACAGCGGCTTCGGGTCGGAACTGAGGAGAGGCGCCAATGGCTGACCGACCCACGTGCTCAACGGCTACCAATGAAGCTGGTATTCACTGTGAAGCCTAACTCGAAGGCTCAGCAAGGAGTGCCATCAACTTACTACAAGCGCAAGGTCAGACTTGTTATCTGTGGCAACTTCGCGGCCGCGGAAGCTCACTCTCTGTATACAGAGTCGGCGCCATCAGAGGCAGTGAGAGCTGGACTGGTGATCACCACCCGTAATGGATGGTCAGTTGGGGTGATTGACATAGTCACCGCCTTCCTTCGTACACCTCTTGGTGAATCACCTGATGACCCGGTGATCATTGCAACCCCACCAAAGATCCTTTTGGACCTACAGCTCATAACCAGCCAGGAACTGTGGGCACTTGTACGTGCTTTATATGGCTTGAGACAATCACCAGTTCTTTGGTCGCGGCACCGAGATCGCCGCATGGAGCAAATGGTTCCGCCAAAAGGCTTGGTTATGAGTCGAGGAAAAACCATCACAAGTTGGTGGTCTGTCAAGGACCGCAGCGGGCGCTTGATGGCAATTATCCTGATCTACGTGGACGACTACATGATCATGGGCCCCGTGGAGTTGATCAAGGGTTTGACAGCGATGGTGCAGGGTGAATGGGAGACCTCCGACCTAACAATCTTGTCTGAGGATAATGAGGTGAAGTTTCTTGGAATGGAGTTGTCTTTAAGGCAGGGGAGCTTGTGTATTTCCCAACGAGGATACATAGATGAACTACTACGAGCTCATGAAGTGGGAGAAAGTGAAGTTAGCAAGATCCCAATAAGCAAGGATGATGCGACCTACGACCTCCTCCCCACGGACCTGTCCACTCCAGATGCAGTTCAGCAGGCGCAACAGGTGACTGGAGAGTTACTCTGGTTATCACAGAGGTCGAGACCGGATTTGAGTTTCGCGTGCTGTTTGCTATCCTCCTTAACTACAAGGGCACCGTTCCGGGTGATCGAGATGTCTAAGAAGATTCTGAAGTACCTGCGAGCTACGAGCGGCTACTACCTGAAGGTGACTTGGGCAGAAAACAACCTGGTACTATACCCGGACGCGGCGTTCGCACCGTCGTCCAGTCGAAGTCAGACAGGTTGGGTGATTGTATATGGAGGAACCCCGATCCTGTGGAGGAGCACGAGGCAAGCAACAACGGCATTATCAACGGCGGAGGCGGAGCTGAATGCAATCCTGGAGGGAAGTGTGGCGCTTTTAGGTGTCGAGTCAATGCTACTGGATATCGCCGAGAACATCACGAACAAGTTTGTGGGTTCGGATTCTATGAGTGCTCTTTGTCTTTCAGCTGGGACGGGAAGCTGGCGAACTCGCCACCTCCGCATAAAGGCTAGTTGGCTACAAGAAGCGCTCTCGAGTGGAGTGCTACAAGCACACCACGTACCAGGGATTCGACAGCCAGCAGACCTGCTGACCAAAAGCTTAGCGGGGCAGCGAGTACGTGATCTACTACGACTGTGGATGATGTTCGAGGATGATGATAACAGGCGGGCCACTACGACGACAGGGGACGCGCAGAATAAGATGATGGTGGCAATGATCTGCTGTATGTTGATGGTTGGTACAGCGGGCGCCCAGGAGACCGAGCCGCACCCGGTGAGGACCATACAGATTGACTGGGATGCTGCAGGGGTTATTATGGCATTGCTTATGATTCTGGGTGCCTTGGTGGTTTGGGAATTTCTCAAATGGGCGGTCGTGGAAGTAGTGTTCGAATACTCCCCTGGAGCATCAAGGAGGAAGCTCAAGAAGCTAGAGCGGCTACGTGAAGCTACCACGAGGGCTATTGAGAACGAGATCCAGAGGCGAGAGAGAGCAGCTACTACGAGTACGACAGCTACTACGAGTACGGCAGCTACTACGAGTTCCGCGACGTCGTCGAGGAGGAGTACAGGAGTGTGCGAGCTACCAAATAGTCCAGGTGTGTCAGACCATACACCAACACGAGCCATCTCTCAGGAGCGACCGCGAGTTCCGGAAGCACAGCCATCAATGATGATGTCAACAACACAGCCGGCGACCCCACCGAGAATGAGGTCGACTATGGCATCGGGCTCACCAGGAACCCAAGGACATGGAGTGGGTGAGGTGAACCGCGTCTGCATGGACACGGTGATGCTGATGAGAGTAGAAGAGCTGAAGGAAGCGCTGCGAATGAATGGGCTACCGACAAGTGGCTTGAAGGAGGACTTGGCCCGAAAGTTGAGCTCTACGTTAGCGGCTTCTATGAACTCTTCTACCTCACCCACAATGAGACAGCTACGATACATATTGTTTCTTTGGAGAGATAAGGACTTGCAAGGCAGGGTTCTTCTTCACTGGAGAGATATGTGTACAAGGACGGCAATATCTACTACGATAGACACCTGGTGCCGGATGCCATAAGGGTGCGTATTAGCCCTGCCGTCAATACGAGGAGGAGTGCAGAAGCTGAGCACCAGGTGTTGTGAGCCCTTGATTCTCGCCGCCCTTTCAAGGGAAGGCTGCGGAAATACGTCCCTTGGGTCACACATGCGAAGCTCTGTACGACACCTTTTTACAGCATGATGTATAGCAGCAAGAGATAACAGCCTGCGTCTTGTACAATAAAGCAGGATGACTCATGCACCAAGCACTTACAGTTTTGTTGTCGCGAACGGAAAAAATTCGATGTCCGAGTGCTAGAGCCGATGGAGTCAGCTGGAAGCATCGGACTGCCTGGAGCCTCACGGCTTCATCAAAACCCTAAATTGCCCAGACCGCCGCTGACCATTTACATGGGCGCTCGAGGCTCCGAGCTCGTCAGAGCAGAACGGTGAAGGAGATGGGTAGAGCGGCCTCCCTCCCCTCCCCCGCCCCCCCCCTCCCCTCCCCCCTCTCCCCCCGCTCCCTCCCCCCCCCTCCCCCTTCTCCCAAAGGAGAAGAGCAGCGAGGTCGACACGCAAAGGTTCCAAAGGTTGGGGTTGAGAGGCGCCCCGAGCATGGTGTATACGACATCCACTGCCCCCTCGCCCTGCCGCTACAGAGCCGAGCGTTAAAACTCCTTGAATTCCTTCATTTCATTCATTTCATTCCATTTCATTCATTTCATTCATTTCATTCCATTTCATCCATTTCATTCATTTCACCCATCTCATTCATTGCATTCATTGCATTCATTTGATTCATTTCATTCCATTTCATCCATTTCATTCAGTTCACCCATTTCATTCATTGCATTCATTTCATTCATTTGATTCATTTCATTCATCTCATTTATTTCATTCATTTCATTCATTTCATTCAAGGCAAGCAGGCCAGACAGTCACTCAGTCAGTCCGTCAGTCCGTCACATCAGTCCGTTAGTCCGTCCCTCCGTCCGTCAGTCAGTCAGTCCTTCAGTCCTTCGTTCGCTCGTTCTTTCATTCACTCATTCATTAAGTCATTTACTCATTCACTCACTCACCCACTCATTCATTCAGTCATTCGTTTCCTTTCGTTCCATTCATTCAATTCTTTCATTCACTCACTCACTCATTCATTCATGCATGCGTGCATGCATTCCATTCCAGTTGATTTCGATTCATTTAACGTGCTCTTATCGATGTTCTTTTGGCTCCATTCATGCATTTGTTCCGTCATTCATGCGCTCAAAGGGCGCGGTCGTTGAACCTAAACTGCAAACCCAAAGCCCTGCGTAGGACAAAGGGCGACTACGCTAAGCTCTACCTGCTGCACCCGAAGCCGTCGAGTGGCCCATATTCCATATAACCTAAATCTTGCTGGACAAGAGCTTCAGGCACCGAAATTCACAGGCCTTCTCATCGGCAGCCTCCAGATAAAGCCCGAAAAGTCGAAAGCTCGGGTAAGTTTGCCAACTGGGAAAATCCGACCCTGTGGAAAGTCAACGGTCTTCTTTGCTTATCTTGTTTGATCCTCTGTTTTTCGAATGCTTCTCTGATCCTTTGCAGTTTCTCCTGGATCGTTCTTGCTGCTTAAATATCCCTGGATGCGGCCTTGACGATGAGCGACAGCATTCCAAGCTGTGGACCGTGCAACTTCTGGAACATGTCCTGTCGAGCAGTGAGCGCGGCGAGAAAGCGCAAACTTTCGCTTCCATCATGTGCACGACCAACCTTGTACTTGGAACGCAGCCTGAGCGCTGCGGTCATGTCCACTTCCTGTCCACCGCACACTTCCCAGCCGTGAAAAAACAGTCGAGGCGAGCCTGGAAGGTGGAAAGCAGGGCCGCAGTGTTCTGAGTTTCCTTAGCCATGTGAATCTGTGTGATGAGCATCTGCAGGTTGCCACTGTGCTCTGTCACGTGTCCGTCGCTCAGTTTCCCACCTTCAGCCGCTTCATGACACGTTGCCGAACGAAAGACACTGGTACCCGTCTTTCAGTGCAACCCTGGCAGGGCTAACGCCACACGATCCGGCTCAGGGGCATGAAAGGCTGCTGCGCCTCCCCGACGGCGACCACGACTGGCGCAGTTCCGACGGATGCCGGAGGCGCCGAAGCCGGCTGAGCCGCCTAGGCTGCTGATGCTGCAGATTGCTGGTTACTGGTTGCCCAGGACCTCCTTCCTTTATGCCGTCCACCCCGAGCTGCGGGCTTCCGGCACACCCAGCCGCTCAGCCGCCAAGCGAGCAAACGTGGTCCGGAGACCTGCCCGTGGCGAGCGAGACGTGAGACGAGGCCACGCAGTGCAACAGCCATTGTGGCTCAGTTCCCCCGATATGCAGGGCAAGGCAGGGCTGGACAGGGATTCGATGCTCAGGTTGGCTCTGTCAAACAGGTACTTGTCCAATGATCTCTCCACCACATCCACCATCGGCTGGACAATGTACAACCCCCGAACTTTGCGGTTGCGTCATTAAACAATACAACTAAGAGCCGCGCCGGATGCAGAACGCCGTGCCTGCCACTCACGGCTCCATGCGACAGACAGAACACCTCGGCCTCGAGCCTCTCGAGCAGCTCGAGCATGCCATGGAAGAACAGCCTGCAAGCAGAGCTCTTGGGGTCGCTACTCTTGGAGCCTCTGACAGGATTCTAGCACGTGCTGATATGCTGAGCCGACGACACGTCGCAAGTGCGCCATCACATCTCGCGTTCTGTGCGACATGGTCGAGCCTGCAGAACCAACAATGCCGAAGATGAAAACCACAGAATCCGAAGCATTCCATCTGAAGCCTTGTACGGCACTTCCTTCTCGACTCCCCTTCGCCCTCCAAGCTCAAGCTCTTGAGCCGACTGCAGAGGACGGGCCACACAGCACTCACACGAGGCTTCCTTGCCATGGGGTGCGTGCAAGACGACAGTCAAAATGCACAGCCAGAAAATCGACGAAGCCAAAGCTGGCAGTCCCGCGAACGAGTAAAGACACGTCATCCAGGAAGGGAAGCGTTGGATATCACCGTGATTGATTGAAAGGGGAGGGAAAGGATGAACAAGAAGGAAGGCAACTCCGCTCCTAGAACAATGCCTCGCGCTCACACAACCACTGTCAATGCCTGCGTGTGCTAGGATCAAGGAGCTCAGCTGGGCCTGTAGGTTGCCGGACGGCCAGTGCGCTGATGTTCCTAAATGCCTTCCTGTGAGTCGGCCAGACTCACCAGAAGAGCTTCCCAAAGCACGCAAAGGATGCTTAACATGGTCCTTTTCAATATCAACACTGGTACTGCCAGGACTTCCCGCTTATGGGGTAGACGACCTGTCCTGAAAGCTTTGACAGATTAGTATGGGCTTCTTCTGGGAACTTCTTCCTAGTATGAACATGGTCGAGGGCAGGTCCGGCAATGAAGTAGTTAAATCGATGGATAGACAGACTGACACACGGATATATAGGCTAGCCACGCAGTTTTCGGGACAGAGAGATAACTGAGATAACAATTCCGGATGCAGATAAGCATTAGTTAGCCTTGCACGCCATTGTACTTCAAGTTGAGCCAATGTATACCAAAACTTATGCTGGTGCTTCGGCGGCCGGAGGAAACTGTTCCTGGAGGAGGGTTGTTCGGCTGCTCCGTAGTCGGCGCCGCTGGCTCCGCTGCTTCAGCTGTTTGGGCGCCATCGGGTGCGGGCTCTGCCATCTTCGAGCGAGGGTTTCCACCGAAGAAAGTCTGAGAGGAAAAAGTCGTGTAGGAAGATAGGCAATAAGCGAAAGCGAGACATGGAAAGACACCCAGCAGGATTCAGCCCGCGGTCTTCGTCAGCTGCCGCGTGCGCTCGCCCAGGCACGGTTTGAATGAGACACGCACTGACACATGTGTCTGAACATGGTAAGGCGAAAGCCAACAATCACAAGCATTGGGACATTTCGAAATTTCATTGTGAGTGACGACTTCGTGACGTAAACGGGGCCGACGTGGTGATGCCACACGGTGCAGACTGGCACAGGTTCCAAGTCCAAAAGCCAAACAGCCCTTACGTGCCAGCCGATGAAAGGTGTATCGGCCGTGGACGAAGATTGGTCAAAATAACAGAACATATTCCTCTGCTTCTTGTGCCCTAACCAGGTCGGAAGATTGGAGAGCTGATGTCGCTTGCAACCTGAACCCAGCCATCAACTCCTCAACCCTAGCGGTCTGAAACCCTAGACTGTTCCTCGGTTGCAGTCGAGCTCCCACCACTTGGTGTAGACAGAAGAAATCAGAAAGGAAACTCTGGTCGGAAGCTTGGTGGGTGCTTGCAAGATGCACCGAACCCCAAACCCGTTCAACCCTTGCGAGAACTCCAAAAACAGCATAACTTGCCGCCGATAGATACCGACATGCTGGTACTAGGATGTCCTTAAGGGGGGGTGGTCCAAGGGGGGTAGGTAACCTAGTAATCCCCATTATTCCCCAATACTCCCTAAGCTTCCCTAAGGTTCCCCAAAGCTCCCTAGTACCCTCCCCCCTTGAACCACCCCCCCTTAAGGATCCTATAATGGTATTCAACAGAGGCTACACAAAGAAAACTACTACGTAGAATTTAAAGCCATCAGCAGGTATTGATTGCTGGTCATCCGGTTGCCCAATGAGGGACAGCCACTGGAACAGTCGCAGATGACCAAATGGGACTGGAGCACTCGAGACTCAAGATGTAGTGGAGGACAGCTGCAGAGGCACTTCAGTGAGCAAAAAGCCAGGGCTTCGGCTCGGCGCTGGTACTGCAAAAGCAGCCATTGTGTTTCATTTCAACTGCGCAGCCTTCAACAGTGAAACCTTCAGATACGGGAGTGTTTGGAGATCTGTGCGAAGGTCTGCAGGCCTTGATGTATATTATAGCAGCTGAGCATTAGTCAATTACGTTGCAACGAATTCATGCAACGCCTTCTCCTCTCAGAACTGTCCGGAACCGTACCTGCTTGAAAGCGCTGTCAGCATACAATCAAGTTGCGTAAGCTTCATAAGTGATGAAAATGGCTATCTCAGGAAATGGCTGGCCGGAGACTGGGCTGCCACCAGGGGGCGCTCCAGGAGAGGACTGACAAAAGATTCGATCTACACGAAGCGATGAAGGCTCTCAAAGTATGGCTGCAGCCTGCAGTTTCTGCATCTCCGCTGCGAATTTCATCTGAGCCTGCGCAACTCTGGGATTCATGGGGCATTTGCCAGCGCAGCAAGACAGAATCAGGTGAGCCAGCCATAGCCAGCCGCTAGAGAATTCAGCAGTGAACGCCAGGCCGGAGAGCTCTATATGGGCAGCCGTGCTCTGAAGCATAAATCCAGTTACCTCTGTGCTTGCTGGGCTGTGCTGATTGTCTGGGCGCCTCTGGAGTTTCGGGGTGGAATGGACCTTGAGTTCGTTGTGTGCAGTTCGAAGCAATGCCCTCTCCATCTGCAGCTTCATGATGCTTCATGATTGCTTTGAAGGCTTCCAAGTGATCTGTTTCATCCGCAGCGATTAATCTTGATGTGGCATGCATATAAACATCTTGGCCCTAACCGCTACCTGTGAGGTGCGCATGCGAAGTTCGGCTTGTAGCCGGGTTCAAGCGCAGTTCAATCTCAGTTGGGCACCAAAAAGCCAAACAGGCTCGACGTTGCATTGACAACCCGACGGTGTCCTCAATGTGCTCGCGCTGTAGCTGCTGCTGCTTGGCAAGCATTTCTTCTTGCGACCTGGGACGGTGCACGCAAGCCTGAGTCTCACTCTTGAAAGTCAAAGTCTGGGTCTCGAACCTTTTCTGTTGGTACTCCATCACAAGCTGCATGGCCTGCAGAGATGCTTTGCGGCCGGCATGACCACACCTTCTGTCATACCATCCTCGCGAATGCACCCAGTACACCCGCATCAGATTGCCTGCGTCTCCAGCGCTGCTTTCTGCTGCGCAGAAGCCTGTTGAACCTGGACTGAACTGGTGAACAGGCAGTAGCGCAACGTTGTCACTGTGCTGGTCGTTTCCGCTGCCCACTGCAGACTTGCACTACAAGCAAACGAGCAATTTGAAAGTCGCAGCTTGGACCACCGAACACGCAATAAACTCGCTTCAAACACAACACTGCGAACCTGCATCAAAGACTGGTTGTACTGCTGCAGAAGTTGCATTTCCTGCTGCTGCACCTGCATCTTGGTGGCCACTCAGAGCTATCCACGAAGACGTCAACTGCAATTGCTGTGAGCCTGCTGCTTGATCTGCATGTCAACCTGCTGCTTTTGCTGCTGTGCCTCCACGTTCCAGAACTACCAGTACACGCCCAGATCAACCTCGGCTACAGTCTGGCCTGAGTGCGGAGGTATTCAGACTGCTGCCTCCGTTGCTGCTCCAGGGTGTTCTGTCACAGATGCATTGCTTTGCGGATAGCATCGACTCGAGCTTACAATGAAGTTTCGCGCCTGCCCTTGCTTTAACTGCTCGTCCAAAAGCCTCTGTGCAAGATTCTTTCTGCATGAGGCATGCAAACACAATGCAGTTTCCAGCAAATGCAAGCATGTCGACCTGATGTATCCTTCTTTCTGCTTCTGAATCACCTGTCCATGTTCACTTGGTCAGACGAATAACGGACCCCGACATGATGCCTCGGGGCTCGGCAAGCCACCACCTGGCACCAAGGCCTGAAGCGAAAGGCGATGTCTGTCGTAGACAAGAACTTGCTCAAGCTTGGCTTCATACTCCACAGCCTCCAGGCCTTAAGCCAAGCTGTCACGGGACTCCATGCTCTGGTCCCAGTTGCTGAGGCCATGACTGTTGAGCTGCATTCGAGAAACTTTGAGCCTGCAGTTGAGGTTGGTTCAACACCTCAGCGGAGCCAGCTCACTTCCACTCAACAGTGTCCATCTTACGAACAAAGCTAACACGACAGATGAGGCAACAGCTGGCGGGGAAAACCCAGGCAGCTGAACAGCAGGAGGTGGAGGAGTTTGGAGCTGCGGGACAGGTTGCCCGGCTTGTGCAGGGGCTCCGTACCTTGCGTAACCCGAACACGTCGTCGTCCGTCAGTGCAAGCCGCAAGACTCGGGTCCCAGCGCGGGCATTCCTGTGTTTGTCATGCCTGCGGCCTCACAAAAAACAAATTGCAGAGACGATGCGAGAATCCGCAGCCTTCGCAAGACGCTAAGACGGCCGAAAGAGCCATGAGCGCCGTAAGCTGTCTGCTCCACAGGCAGGCGCAGAGTCGGCACCAGGCCTTGCACGAGGTGCAGGCAATGCTTTATGGCGTCAGATCTTTGCAGTCGCCAGTGCTCCGGTCTGCTACACGCAAGCTCTACGTGCTTCAACCGCTCTGTATGGAACGCTGGTTCAATGAATGGTTTGCACGGCTGTGGTCGCGACTTATTTTGCCTGGGTTCTGTGGATCTGGACTTGCAGGCATATTCGAGAGTACAGCTTCAGACCCGTGACAAAGAACAGAACTCGACAACTAGCGGATCCAGCTTTTCGCTCCCGTTTCTCACTTAATTACATTGGAGCAACCCGAAGCTTGGCCCGGACCGCCGAATCCCCATATCACCAAAATCACAGACGAGTCTTTTGACAAGTGTGTTCAGCAACTACGAGTACCGACTGCAACTGCGATTTCACATCGAACCCGTTGGTTCCGTTCATCGACAAAGCTGCGAGCGAGAGCTGTTGTCGAATGTAATATTATGTATGAAAAAAGTGCGACGAGTCGGTTGAATTTCTTCTTCGCATGTCAATGAGACCGTTGAGCATGAGGTGCCTGATTCAACAATGATCAGCCACAGAAAATGCATTTATCATCCCTTCCCTCAGGGGTGGGTTATAATTGCCGACGGCATTTTGGACCTCCCAAATGCAATCAAGCGACATGGCATGAGTGGCATGCGAAAGGGCTGGGGTTGTTTGCAAATGTTCGGCGTGATGCGCGGTGCTACTGTGATGATTCGGATACGATGCTAGGGTATGCAAGCCTTCTGCTGGGATCACTCTCTTTCTCTTTCTCTTTATCTTTCTCTTTCTCGTTCTGTTTCTCTTTCTCTTTCTGTTTCTTTTTCTCTTTATCTTTCTCGTTCTCGCTATCTTTATCTGTTTCTTTTTCCTTCTGTTTCTGCTTATCTTTCTCTTTCTCTTTCTCTTTATATTTCTCTGTCCCTCTCTCTCTGTGCATCTTTTATCTTTCTCTTTCCCCTTCCCTTTCTCTGTTCTGTCTCTTTATCTTTCTTTTCTCTCTGTAATTCTCTGTGTCGCTTTCTCTTTCTCTGTCTGTTTCTCTTTTTCGTTCCCTTTCTCTTTCTCTTTGCCTTTCTCTTTATGTTTCTCTTTTTCTCTTTTTCTTTTGTTCTCTTTTTCTTTTTTTCCCTTTCCCTTTCCCTTTCCCTTTCCCTTTCCCTTTCCCTTTCCCTTTCCCTTTCCCTTTCTCTTTCTCTTTCTCTTTCTCTTTCTCTTTCTCTTTCTCTTTTGCTTGCCAGGCGTCTGCGTGCGCAGGGTCGGGCCCTACAACCCCTGCGCGCAAGCGCTACGCCCCTGTTCGTGTGCGGTGTGCGGTTGCGTGGAACAGGTGTGTTCTCTCGCTCTTTCTCTCTCTCCCTGTCTCTTTCTCTTCCTCTTCCTCTTCCTCCCTCTCTTTCTCTTTCTCTTTCCCTTTCCCTGTATTTTTATCTGTCTCTTTCCCTTGCCCTTTCCCTTTCTCTTTCTCTCTCATTTTCTTTCTTTCTCTCTCATTTTCTCTCTTTCTCTCTTTGCTTTGCTCGGGGTTTAGGGCAGGAGCAGTCCTCCCGCCCCGCGCGAGCGCGCTACCCCATCCACTATTTGGAGTGGAAGGGCTCGGCTGTACAAAACGTGTGCCCTGTTGTTCAGGGCAGTGAGTGGGTTCCCCGTTTTCAACCAGCAAAGTAAGTTCTTTCTCTCTCTCTCTCTCTCTCGCGTTTTTTTCACACTCCCGCAGAGACGGACAAGCAAACACTGATGGATTCGGCAGAAGAAAAAAGAAGAGGTCAAGAAAACTAAGAAACATGCATGCTGCAGAAGGATGTGGATGACAATGATGAAAACGAAAATGAAACGAAAGACCGCAGGAATGGCATACAAAACAAAACGGAATGAGATGATCCGTAATGGGTGAGGTTGCGGCCCCATGAACGCCAAACACAAAAGAATGATGTAGCACGAAATGATGAAAGATGAACGAACATGAGTGCATTTTCCTGGGACGCGGGGGAGAGCCTCGTTGGACGGAGCGCCACTGCACCCCCTCCGTCCCCCTTCAAGTACACAAGGACAAAAGGAGTGACCCTCTGTTCCCATGTGCCGAGGAAGTTCACACACACACACACACACACACACACACTGAGCATGCGCTGAAGAACGTTACCTGTAGGCAAGTCAGTGCACTGAATTAGGCCCGGGCCTGCCATGCGTTTGCATGGTTGAGGCCTTCGGGCAGTGGCGACTCTTACCCCAGTGAAGCCTCCTCAACTGGTCTACCACCGTGTGGAGGCTGTCGGCTGTGGGCCGTAACCAACTGAAAAGGCTGGGCCCATATGTCAGCACAAGTCGGCCCGGCCACACTCACGGCTGTATGGCATCTTGCACGTCTGAGTTGACAGCATGGACTGCTGCCTGTGGTGGACAGGCATCCTCATCCGTTTAGCCATTTGTAATAAAGGGTCGTGGCAATGGCTCCACTATGGGTCATGCACCCTTGGTTCGCAGCCCATGGAACCGGCGAAGAAAATTGGTGCGATTGGTCCACGCAGTCTGGGCCAAACTTGTAGGGCAGGGCTTGTGACACCTGCAGTGCATGTCCATGTGGTTCGTCAGCGAGCTTGAGGACCAGGCGATCTCCCAGGCCATAGACCACTCTGAAGTTGCCCTTCCCGATCATGGGGACGCGACGTGGTGGGTCAAACGGTGTCCCTGTCCTCACGTCCGTTAGCAAGAAAATTTCGCTCGCTAACCAGTGTCGTGGGTCCACAGGCTTTTTCTGATTCGCTTGCTTTAGCGACACTGCATGGGCATCTTCATTGGAGCCTTCTTCAGTCTTGACCTCAGGGTCCCTGGCAAGCCTTCGCAAAATAGCTGTTGTGGTCATTTCCTTTATTGGAATCATGACAACTGACACCTCGGAAGAGGCGCTTGAGGAATCCTCCTCCTCAGGTACTGCTTGGTTGGCGGCAGACGGTGCAGCATTACTGGAGGCATCTCACTTCCAGAGACACCAACATTAGCACCAGTAGCCACTGCACCGCCTCCCGGTCCTTCCTCGAGGAAAATGGGATCGCCTAGACTCTCAAGGGAAGAATATGGGGATCGCTGCTGTCTGCGTCATGCCGGTGGCGGTGGAGGTGGTGTTCTTGCATGACTGCGCAGAGGCCGTGGCTGAGATTTGGCCAGAGCCTGCCTCTCATCCTGATGCAACCTGTTTCTGTTTCGGGTCGCTGCAGTGCGACTGAGGTGACCCAGGCTTTGGCGCCGTCTTTCGGCGAGGATAGCCTGGTACTCTTGCCCGGGGATCATGAGGCTGAAGCCCCACACACACACAGCCCCACTTGGGGCGAAGAATGGGATGTTTTGGGAGAAAGAAGGAAAAAGGGAAGTCTGCCAAATGCTCCTCGCATCTCCTCGCTGCATTTCCCTTGCACTAGACGACATTTATAGCACCTGCACTCATGTCAGACTCGCATGCCGCTATCTGCAGACCGTCAGCAATAATCATAGACTCATAGACTAATAGATCGGGAGAATTGATCAGCTGAAGGAAAATCTGAGCGGAGCCGGTTCATCACCGGTTGCCCACGAAGGGTCGCCACGGCGCCATGACGGAAAGCCGCTCCTCTGGAGTCTCATGACCCACGCTGATTCACACTGATGGACTCGGCAGAAGAGAAGCGAAGAGAAGAGAAGAGGTCACGAAAAGCCGAGAAAGAGGCATGCTGCAGAATAACGTGGATGACGATGATGAAAACCAGGAATGGCATACAAAACAAAACAGACACAGAGTGAGATGCTCCGTAAGGGTGAAGTTTCGCCCCCTTGCTACGCCAAACACAAAAGAATGTCTTAGGACGAAATGATGAGAGATGAACGAACATGAGTGCCCCGCCAGCTGCCCACGACGCGGCCCAAGCGCAGGCGATGCAGGTACGTTTTCCTGGGGCGCAGGGGAGAACCTCGTTGGACGGAGCCCCCCTGCACCCCCTCAGTCCTCCTGCAAGTACAAAAGGACAACAGGAGTGACCCTCTGTTCCCATGTGCCGGGGAAGCTCACACACACAACACACGTGAACACTCCCTGGCAGAATAAACGTACTGTTTAAACTCGCAGCTACGTTTGCACGAAAACACAGGTAAATGAGTGCGAGGTCTTCGTTGGCCAGCGCACGCACTCATCTGACGTGTTTCTCCGCCGGGCCCCTGCTTCAGAAACTACTCTACAGAGACAAGCCCATTGGTTGCACACCCACGGTCACTCCTGTAAGGAGTAGCCTGATGTCGTGTTGGGCTTGCCATGACGTTTCGCTTGTCAAAACTGCAGCCACGTCATGGTGCCCTAAAAATGCGTCGTCAGGGGTAACGGTCCTGCCCCATGTGAGGCTTGGTCCTGGCCTCATGTGATGTCTTCTCGGGCAAGGGTCCCCGATCGCGTCGGTACCTACCGACCCCCATGTCACCGTGCGGCCGTGCGGGAGCCCGTGCAACACTGTCGGAAATCGCGTTTGTACCAGCACAAGGGGTTTTGGCTGCCGCGCAAGTAAAAGCCGTTGTAGCGGAGAATTCTGAACAGAAGTGTGGGGCCTCACGGAGGCCGACATGGTCGCAATCACGGAAAAACTCGAAGCCCGCGCCGTCGAAGCTCGCCCCGAGAGGCGGAATGTGGTGGTTTCGTTCAGTCAGCTTCGTTCAGTCAGCTTCAGGAGGATTTTCCCAGGTTAGTTGGTGCTCCGCCGTGGCCTTCGGCTTCACTGGAAAGCACACGACATCGAAGCTCTGTTGGAAGCTGTCGCTGGAGACGATGAAGTGCACTGTCATCTTGGCAAGATGCACAGGCCGGTGCCCTCGGTCCTGTAGCCTCCTCAATGTCCGTATCCCTATGCAATCTGCCCTCTCTCATGTGTCTTCTTGAACCCAGGCTGGCATACTCCCCCAGCGAATCTGCAGAATCCAAACCAGGGCGAAAGTTTTCCGGTGCATGCGGCACAAACGCAACACCATCAAGATCCGCGTGCACTCCTCAATGTAGTATGCTCCTTCCCCCTACTGGCGGTCCACCTCCAGAGGGGGCTGCGGTCAGGCTCAGGAGGGGGGGGCCAGCCTGACCAAGGGCCTCTTGATTCAGACGGCAACGGCGTGCGACTCAAGCACCGCTGGGAAAGACCCACAGGCTTTCTTTTGGAATGACAGCTCCAGGCAAACCCCGAGTCTCCCTCCGATGCCAGGGAGCAACACAAATCCCCAAAGGTGCGGACACTTGAACCAAAATGGCTACTCTCTCTCTCTCTCTCTCTCTCTCTCTCTCTCTTGCTTGCTTGCATGGCGTGTGGGCAGCAAAGCACGGAACCCTGCCCCCCTGCGTGTGAGCGCTACGCCTGTGTCCGTGTCTGGTGTGAAACGCGTGTGGTGCACAGCCAGGTTGGGTGTTTCAGCACAGATTTCACACCCTCTGCATCCCCTGTTTACCTAGCGTTGTGTCCCCGCCTGGCTGAGCACGCCTGTGTCGGTATAGGAAGCTTGTAGGTATTCTACGCTTCGTCTCTGGGCCCCCGAGTTTCCTGTATTTGTCAATTTAGAATAGAAGGTGCCAAACAACGGCTAGACGATCGAGTGCTCTCTCTCTCTCTCTCTCTCTCTCTCTCTCTCTCTCTCTTTCTTTCACGAGGGTAGAAGCAACATGATGCCAGTCTCAGCAACTGACTTAGGAGCTAGGTACAACAGCAGTGGTCCTTTACTATGGGGCCCACCACAACACTCAACTTTGACCTAGAGTGGTAACTAGTGCTCGTTTTGCAGCAAAGGACTCACCTCGTGCCGGTGGCTCATTGGCAGCATGGTTCAAGGGTACCGAGACGATGAACTTTCACTGAACGAAGCCGGGGTGCAAGCACAGGGCCTTACATCAGGGCAACAGCTAGGCTGAGATGGAACACACCAGTGAAGGTGACATCAATCTCCAGGGTTACCTACCGCGGCTCCATGGGCTCACTTTCTTCCACACAAGTAGGAAGCCTCCTGCTGCTCACTTGTGGTCATCACTGTGCGTGGAAGTTCAGAGTGCACAGTCCGTTTCCTTAAACGCCAAAATGGCTAGAGCGCGTACAGTAGCGGTAAACACTACAGAACGGCAGCAGCGACGGCTTCTTTTTGTCCGGTGGCGTAAAGCAGTCCGGGCTCAGGTGGCCCTGGTCGGGAAGCAGAACTCGGACCAGGACCAGAGCCGGATGCAGTGTCGATCCGCATTCTCTCTGGCTGGAAAACCATCCCCAAAACGGGAAGGCGGACAGAAGGGGACGAGAAACACTGCGGAAACGGATCCCCGCTCGAACCGGGTGGCTTCGGCGGGGGGTCCGTTGCGTGCACTACCAAACACATCCGTTCAAGCACGGTACCGTTCAGAGTGCACAGTCCGTTTCCTTAAACGCCAAAAAGGCTAGAGCGCGTACAGTAGCGGTAAACACTACAGAACGGCAGCAGCGACGGCTTCTTTTTGTCCGGTGGCGTAAAGCAGTCCGGGCTCAGGTGGCCCTGGTCGGGAAGCAGAACTCGGACCAGGACCAGAGCCGGATGCAGTGTCGATCCGCATTCTCTCTGGCTGGAAAACCAATGGAAACCTCGAGCCGGAAGCTTGACCACAGCCGTGGGACCAGCCAAAATGAGAATCAAGCAGAGCAAGAGCCACCCGGGCACAGGAAACCAGAAAAATCCGCCGCAGACGGGAATAGGGACAGATCCGGAGAAGACGGAAACTGGTCCCAAGAGATGCAATGTTCCTGGGACATCTCGAACCCCAGAGACGCAGGGTCGGCAGAGCGACTTAAAGCGTCCGCGACGTCATTCGACAATCCCGGAACGTGATCAATGTAAACGGAAATACGACGCGCCTGCTGGCAGAGCAGGAAAGAGCGGAGCACAGAGCAAAGGCCCTTGGCCATAGACAGACCCTTCCAGCTCGCTGCATCAGCAGCAGAGTTATCGCATTTGAAGACGCAGTGCACTGGCAGGTGCCCTGGTCCCAGCAGGACGTCCAATAAGACAACCAGAGCGCACTGTGCCAACAGTTCCCAACTGGCGATAAAGGCCTGAGCAGAAGCGGTCTCAGGGAACCAGGAAAAGAGTCTATGAAGCTCTTGACGGTCAAAAGACTGACGAAAAAAGAGTTGGCGCCCGTCCGGTAAACGAACGAAGCCGCCGAGCCCCGCGGAGAGCTCGGTGGCGCAGGCGTCAGCAAAGGCTTCACAGACGTAGAGGGGCGGGCGCAGCAAGGAACGAACGGCCGTGCCAGACTGGCAGAGATCCAACCAGAGTCTCAGCACCTCCTGCGAAGAGTCCGAGAGAACACACATCCCGGTGTGCGGAGACGAAGACTGAAGCCAGATGCGACGGGCATCAGGGGCCTGCAGCGGAAGGTCACCGTGGCAAGAAACCGCAGTTTGATTGACACGTAGGATCTTGGAACCCGGCGGAAGGGCAGCCACACCAATTGGACGCAGCAGGATGAGGTCCGGAGAGAGAGCCTGCAAGAGTTCGGGCCACCGCTCAGGTTGAAGCGCTGTCATGGTGGGCAGCAAAGCATGCTGGTCTGAGTAAAGCGGAGCCAGAGAAGGGCGGAATGTACGGAACAGAGAAGACAGCCAGAGGAGCTTGCCCGTGACACGCTCCAACAAATGACAGGAGCAGCGTTTGGACGAAAGGGCCTGCCGGAGCAGAGCACAGAGCCGTGTAAACTTGCCGGGGTCCAACTTCACGCAAAAATGCGACAAATTAAACTCCCAGCCAATCCAAACAACAGACGGGCCCAAAGCAGCTTTGTGCCATGACATGGGCACACGCAGAACCAGAAGAAGGACGACAATTAAGGAGGCCCAAAGCGGGGCAGAAATGGCATCCAAGAGTGCCAGGATGTCGTCAACGTAAATCTGAGCCGAGTGTCGGACACGGACAATGCGGTGTACCAGGCGAAGTAGCAGACCGGCTGCGCGGGCCCAGTAAAACGATGACACGCGGGCCCCAAAATTCAGTGTGAGACACTGATACAGCTTTCCACGGTGGCGGAAGCAAAGAAGACCGCGGTCAAGTGCACGAATCAGAATACGGCGATGCGCTTTTGCAACATCCAGTATCAAAGCGACAAGCCGTTCCGTGGAGTCGGAGAGAGGCATACAAAAGAAGACGTCCGACAGAGTGGGGTTAGCAGAACGGTTGGGCAGAGCAGTGTTGCTCGTGACGCCAGACACAGAGCTGTCGACCACCAGACGCGGAGGACGTCCCTCAGCCAGCACGACTCCTAGTTTGCCGACCGCCGTACGATTGTAGCGGCGGCGCAGCTCGGCATCCCCTCCCGGAACCAGAGCGATCCAACCTTCGGCCAGCTCAGCTTCGAGCAACTCATCCACCACATCTGCATGATCAATGGCAAATTTCCAGGCAGACTCACAATGCTGAAGCGGGATGACCGTGGCGTCAGGGGAAGGAGGGGGATGCATAACCGGGCACGGGGGAATGGGCTCTGGCACGCCTAAGGGGACGCCAGAGCGGAGAAGATCAAAGTATCCCGAGTCCGGGTCTGCACAAACCAGCGAGAGACAGTGCCAGAGATTGAGCCGAAACGGCTGACCCTCTTGGACCAGAAGCAGACGTTTCCAGATAGTGTCGTCCTCCACATGCAGAAAGGAACGGAGGTCATCCAGAAAAGGAGCAACCTCAGCCTCAGACAACGGAGGAGACTTGGACCCGGAGTTCAGGGAAGCAGCAATGCGTTGGGCAAGACCGGACGCAAGCAGTCGTTTGGTCCAAGCTGCCCTCAGCGAGGACAGCGGGTCAGAGGAAACTGGCCTCGGGGAGGCAGTACTGCAAGTACCAGCACCGTCCTCAACCCTGTGGGACCGAGCAGGCCAAATAAAGCGAGACGGCAACAGCTGCAGCCAAGCCGCAAGGGGGTAGGGCTGCTGCGGCAAGGCATCCGAAAACAAAGGAGCCGCTATGCGTGCCAGGGCTGCAGCCAAGGACGGAGGGTAGCATGCAGAAAGGCGAGTGGCAAAGGATCCATCCGCCAAGCGCTTTCCGGACACCTTGGCGTGAAAGCCTAGAGGGTGAGGGCAGACACATGCAAGGGTCGCGAACTCCGGGGAGTTAGAGCAAAAGGACCAAGCCTTGTGTTGGTCCAGGCCGTGATGGCAGCCAGCAACCGTAGCAACGTGGCGGCAGAACAGCCGGAGCCATGAGACAACGTCTGGATCCAACCACAACAGGGAGGAGGTGGGATTCTCCACCCAAATGAAACCGCCGCGGGAGTCAACCAGACAGAGAAGATGGCGCGTTCGATGATGCAGAACAGAGGAAACCCTGGCCTGCGAGGCAGAGGGAGAGGGAATGCCAGTAGGGTGGTGGAGAGTGCGCACCGGAGAAGGGCCACCAGGACGCAAGCGGGACCTTGAAAAGGCTGCACAAGGCGGAGCAGCACCGGCAGCACCCACCAAGCCTGAAGAGCAAAGTCGGCAGAGGCGGTCGAAACAGGCAGTCCGTTGCAGACGCAGCAAGCTTATCGACAGGTTCAAAACAAGCCTTCCCGAGCGCCTGAAGTGCAGTCGTCACCCGGAAAAAAGGTCCAGGAACAACCTGGCAGCAGGAATAGAGGGCGCCGCTGGGTTGGCAGTCGACGGCGACGGTGGGCCCAGGACAGCAGTCAAACCGTCCGCCCGAAAAGGACGCAGAGCAGGAGCAGGAATCGGCGAGACCGCTGAGGATGCCGAGCCAAGGAGAGACAAAGGCAGAGGCGGAGAGGGAAGTGTCGTGTCGGCCGCAGGAGGGAGAGGCACGGCAGGCGAGGGACTGGTAGCAACAGCGGGGTCCTCCGCAGACCGTGCCGCCGGAGCGGTAGTAGGGTCGACGGAGGGGAGAACCGTGGAAGCTCAGTGAGGTGTCTTGCCATGGTCCAGAGCAGAGTGCGGTTGGCCGCAGGCTTTGCCGGAAGGGAGCGGGACCGGGCAGCCGTGCACAAACTTACAGTCGGTCTTAGTGCATTTGCCGACTGCGAAACGCATGCAGGCCTCTTTATCCCCGATGGTCTTGCACCAGGACGGGTCCCAGCCTTTCGGAGGCGGATTGGCAGCCGTCTTGGCCTTGGCCGCTGCTGCTTTTGCCTTGGCTTTGGCCGCAGCGGAATCCTGACCGGACGAATCGTCGGCCAGCTGACGCTTTCTGCCCAGACCCTTGCCAGCTTTACCGTCGGCGGAGGGCGGAGGTGGAATGCGCGGCGGACGTGGACGGGGCTTCGACATCTCACCACGACAGAAAGCGATTTCGCTAAGTGCGTCGGGGAGGCTCCAGCCATGATCACTCGTGAGCTCGTAGACGGAGGACCAGACCGCCCTGTCCGCGTGAAGGATCTCCTGAAGGGTGGGAGAGCGAAGTGCCTGATCGAGAGGAGCCGCCAGAGCCAGAGACAGAAATTTTTCGTGAAATTGCTTTATGGTCGCAAGGTGCACGAGATCTAACATGGCTAACGCGGTAGCCAGCAGAGACAGCGCACGACGCAGGACCGGCTCCGGATGACCCTGCATATTGACCGAGACCGTCGGGCCAGGGGGCTCGGGCTGACGGATGAAGGAGCGGTCATTGCGAGGTTTGCGCGTCTCTTCCCAGCGTGCAGCATCAGCCAAGCACGTGCGCAAGCGCCACGGGACCCAGAGGGAAGCGGCAGAGTCGCTGTGCTGCTTCAGCAGAGACAGGAACTCGAGAGACGGGGTGGATGACGGAGTTAGGAGTTCCCCCGGGTACTTAGCCATGAAATCTTTCTTCAAATGCGTTAAGTCCGTGGGCTGGAGCTTGGCAGTCGCGGATGACGAAGCAGGCGGCACCGGCAGACCCAGAGTGGAGAGCCCTGGGGTGACACGTGGTGGTGCCGCCAGGGCAGCCTCGGACAGCAGGCGACGGACACAGGCCGCGTCTGCAGACACGAGACCCGCTGCAACGGTGTCGTCAGACAGACCGAGCAGCGTGCGGATGAAGACCTTGACCTCATCAGGATCAGAGGGATCCGCAAGTGCGTAGGCCAAAGAGTACCCCTTCGCCGCCAGGGCTGAACGCACGGCCGCGGAAGCAGCAAGCTGTTCCAGCAGGGCCGCGAGCGCCGCCGGGTCATCGAGACGCGGGCGGGCAGCCATGACTGATAGGCAAGAAGGGGGACAGTATAGGGAGGAGAAAAGAGCAAAAACGGCTGCGGCGAGCACAGGACAGGAGCACAACCCAGACAAGAAGGCCAACAGGACGCCAGCAGAACGCAGGCACGCTGTTTTGATAGGCGCGATGCAGGCGGCTCGAGTGAGCTAGTACCCGTGCAGCCGGTGGCAGCGGGCGCAAGCATGCGTACGATGACCCCTGCCCCGGATGGGGCGCCCGCAGAGTCGGTCACAGTCCGGATTGACGCACGGCAGCATGCAAAGGTCCGGCGGGCCAGACGGCTGCTGCACAGTGTGCATGCCCAGGACCCTGCCGCGATCACGCCCCCGCCTCACAATAGTGGGTTCGGAGGGCATCGACGGAGGCGACCCCAAGATGCGCTGCATACGTGGGTCAAACGCGGGACCAGGAGGCACCAGGGTACGGTGCTCCAGAGCAGACAGCAAGAACAGCCTCGGCCTCGTGGGCCTGGGTGGTCGGGGCGGGCATGGTCGGGGCGTGCCCGTGTGCCACCGGCGAAGGGGACGGCGGATCCAGCACCGTGGGGGCCAAAGCCGGGGCGTTCATGGGAGCGTCCGCCGGGCTCGTGTCCGAGAGATCCTCAATGGGATCAGAGGCGGCTGGGGCTGCCGCAGCCGCGGGAGAAACCGACTCGATGGGGTCCGACGAAGACATGGCGACGAACGGACGACGGGACAAGACGAGGGACACGACGAACCGAAACGGCTGCGGCAGATAGAAGCAAAGTAGATCACACCGATCTGACGCACAACAGACCCTCGCAAAAAAGACCCCTTGTTTGCGCTCACCCCGCTGGTCACAGCAGCTTCAGACGGTGAAGGCAGCCCGTGCGCAGGCAGAGAGTGGCACCTTTAGGGAAAGCCGAGAGAAAGCTGTCTGGCGCCAGTTGGGAGGTACGAGCCCCACAGAGGAGTACAGCTTGGAACGAATGGCCTGAGGCTCTGTGGCTACGGCAATGTGCACCACGTTGCTTCGGGAGTTCCACAGGTACCCTCGGGCCTCGAGGGACGCAGACGGGGGAGGCGGAGGCGGAGCCGAAGCGTCCGACGACGCAGCCTCCCCGGCCACGACCGGGACTTCCTCCTCGGAGGGAGCTTCGCTGGATTCAGAAGACAGAGAAACAAGGTCTTCTTCCTTCACGGAGGCGGGGTCCGGCGCGGCCAGGGGAGGAGGGGAAGGAAGGGCAGCCGTCAGTGGGGCAGCCTCCGGGAAGCAGTCGGACGTGAGGGAAAAGTCCGACCCGCGCACAACCGGTTGCAAGGGCCGGAATCCGGAGCGCAAGGCCAGAACCAGCTGTCGCTGGAAGCGAAGCATTGGGATAATATCGTCCCTGGAGTAAAGGGAGACTGATTGGTCGGAGCCAGAAAGTCGGTGGTGACCTTGGATGCGACGCAGTTCAGACTCAGACCCGAGCTGGCGACCCCAGGCCAGTAACGTACATTTCAGAGAATGTGCCGCTACCAGTCCAAATGCAGCCGGAGGCGGGGACGTTGAGTGGAGATGCCAGTGACGGAGAAGCAGGCCCCGAAGCCACAGAACCATCTTATCCCGTTTGAGAGGACCACCCATGACCGGACGAGCTTCGGAGCCGGACAGGGTGGCGGGAACAAAGTCCAGAGAGCGACCTGGGGAAATCCGCATGGTGTCCGCAGCACACTGAGACAGGGTGCTGAGGAAACGGAGTGCCCAAGACGCAGAGGCAGAGCCGAGAAGGCCAGAAGTGAGGATGCCGAAGGGCATTCCTCTTTTAGTGGTTTTAGTACGAAGGCACGTACCCACCAGCGCAGACGCTTGTGGCTGGTAGTCAAAACGGCGGGGGGAGGACCCAGAGAGCGTCGCCCCAGCGTAAGCTGCCCCAGATACAGAGCAGAAGGTAACCAACCCGGAGGATTTCGGCCGCAGATGCGGACGGATCCAGAACCAGGGATTCGAGCCACACGACAAAGCTCAAGCTCAGTGGCAGACTTTCTCGGTGCTCCGTAGGGGAGGACGCAACGGAGAACGCCTGACAGACCGGAGACAGCAGAGCCGCTTTGAGAGCCGGCAGACCCGCCGTCTTGCAGAACCACGACAGAGCCTTGAGCTGCATGGTTGACAGACCCTGTTTACTGGCTTGGCTGCGCAACCAGTCCGGGAGCAGACCAGGAGGCGGGGACAAATGATTGGCCCCGGCCAGACGGCAGAAGGAAACCCAGTTGAGCCAGGCATCAAAGTAACGCTGCAACGTGGAGGGGGCAAACCTGGCAGCCAACCCGCTGCACATGAAAATCCATGTGGGCGGAGGCAGATGCCTCCACAAAAAGGGCGCTCTCGGACCCCATTTCTTTTAAAAGCTCCGTCCAGCGGAGAAGAAGAAGACGCATCTCTTCAGATGCCTGTTCGGCGGAACCGGCCACCGGGCCAACCGGAGAGGCAGGCAGGCGCATAAAGGAAGTAGATGCAAGCCCAGTTGAGTCAGACGCCGCAGGCAGAGGAGAAGGGGCAATGAGTGCTGGCCTGGGTGCAAGACCGAGCACAAAGTTATTCAAATGGCGTCGTGACGGAGGCGGGGCCGGAAAAGGTCTAGACGGGGGGGCCGGAAACCCGCGAAGAGGCGGAGGAACCGCCGGAGCGGGCGCCGGACTAGACGCCAGTGGCGTGAACGCAGGAGGTCTGTAGGACGCCGACAAGGTGCCTGAAGCCCAGCGTGATGGAGGCCGAACCAGAGAAGCCGAGGCAGAGGCAGAGCAGATCGGAGAAACAATTGACCAGGTCGTGCCACTGGTACTGGCGCCCGGCAACGAGGGAATTCCAATATGAGAAGTGGACGCGGAAGGCGGAGTTGTGAGCAAGTGTGGTCGCGGGCTAGGAGTAGCCAGCAGGCTCAGCGGAGAGGCAGGCGCAGAGACAGAGGGCGGTCCGCTGGGACGGATGCCAGGCGGAGAGTGCACAATGTCCGGAAGCGGAGAAGAGCCAACGCCGAGGGCGGAAAGACCTGGGTCAGCGACCCCGTTCTGCGCGGAAGCTTCCGATTGAAGAGGACCAGGTGAACCTGCCAGGTGCAAACAGAGGACACGTCAGGAGTGAAAGCCCATGGCCTGTCTCGAAGAGCAACAAGTCGGGGTCCTGAGCAAGACAAAAGCAGCGGTGTAGAACGAAGCAAAGCAATGCAAAAGCAGAGAACTGCAACATACGCACTGTTTTAAAGAGACTGCGAAGCAGCAAGTAAGGGTCGGCAGGCGGACGGGCGGATGCCGACCGCTGCAGAAGAGAAGACGGCGGGCAGAATCATGAAGATTCAGCCGCAGAGGGAAGAGGGGAACCGGAGGCTCGCCCTCGATTAAGGATACTTGAAAAAGAGAACCGGGGAAGGCCGAAACCAGACGCAGCCCAGCAGCCGAGCACTTACGGCGTCGGACGCAGGGCGGATGCGGAGACGGACAGATGGCTCACCTGCCTGTGAGGCAGTGATAGCAGGTGTGACCATCATGGCCGGACCTTTCGCCCACCATGATCGGACGCAGACACATTCCGAGGCACCTGTTGCCCTCGGAATTTGTGGCCAGGCGGGTGCAGATGTGTGTGCAGTAACCTCGCAGAGCGAGGTGCTGCAAGGGCTCTGCCGGGGCCAGCGGAGTGATGTAGTCCGGGTGCTCGTCCGGACGCAGACAAAACAGATCCGGAAAAGACCACCAGGCTGGCCTGTGCCACACTCCGGCTGTTGTCGGAGTGTTCACGCGGATCTGCCAACCTTCCCTGGAACTCCAGGGAGCAGCGTTGAGCTGCGGTGGCAGACGCGGAGTGACGTCGACTGCGTGGGTCGAGCTGCGCGGACCAACCCGCCTCCCAAAAATCATTGGGATCAAAAGCGCGGCCACGGAGGGCGGGCGGACCGGTCGACTCAGGTGCAGCGGCGGGTGCGGTAACCTCCGGTGCCGGAGGAGGGGCACCGCTTCCGGAAGCAACGTCCGCCATGGGGTTGGCGCGGACGGGAGCGGCTGGCGGGGCGTTCAGCTTGGGGTGTGGCAGAGGGCAGGTTTTTGCTGCGGAATCGGACCTGCGCCCTGACTTGCACCCTTGGCGGGTGGCTCCTTAACCGGCGGACCCGAGCGACCTCCAACCGGGGGAGGCGGGGTCGGAACAACCGGAGGCAGGGCGGGTGCGGTGCTGCAGACAAAGTACCCGCACTGAGACGGAGCAGATCAGAAGTAGGCAGGGACGAAAATGCAGTTGCCATGGCCGGTTCCGGATTATCAAGGAACGCCACTATGTCACTCCATGCTGCCGACGGCGGAGACGGGGCGGAGGCTTTGGGATCGTCAGAAGCAGCCAGAGTCCCCGCCTCAGGTTCCAAGAACCGTGCCGGTGGCATGTCAGAGTCGGCTTCTGCCGGCGCAACCGGGACATCAGTCTCGGAAGCGGCGTCAGCGGCAGAAGTCGGCGACCGCGGGAGCGGAGCCCTCTGTAGGACGCACAGGGTGCGATTCCGAGGTAGATTCCGAAGGAGAGGGCTCGCAGGACCGGCGGTCCGCAACAGGTCCGGAGGCAGATGAAGCCGTCATCGCAGGCGGACAGGAAAAGAGGACGAAAGGGGGCACAGCAGACGTGAACAAGACGGCTGCGGCACATAACACGTCCCTCAAGAGCAGGAGCAACTGCAAAATTGCGGACAGACCTGACGCAGAGGAGCAAAAGGTCCTGCGGCGTCGAAGTGCCCAAAATCCGCAAAGACGGAGAACGTGACCGGCGACCTGAGAGAACAGGTGCACCGGAAAAAAACATAGGCAAACGGCAGCGGTCAGAAACTGAGCCGGCTGCGCGAAGCCGATGAGGAAGACCTCGCACCTGAAGATAAACAGGCACAGACGCCACGCGGTCAGTGAAGAAACTGAGCCGGCGACGGCGACGGTCACGGGAGACAGAAGAGCCTGGCAAAAAGGCCAGCGACAGAAAAGGACAGACAGACGGAAGACCGGCCTGACGT